GAGGGGGGGGGGGGTGGCGATTTTCCATGCAAATCATATACGGTTAAAAAAGTAAAAAAAAAAAAGAAGAAAAAGAAAGTGAAATAAATTGTAGTGAACTAATTAATTGTTCAGTAAAAATTAGACGCCTTTCAAATTTTTCAGTGTTTATATATCAAAATATTTTTTCCTAGTATAAATTAACATCGGGCACGATGAACTTGGTTGTTGTGGAAGTCTCGCGCCTTATTAAGGTATCATAGCGGTAATTGACCAATGAAAATGAACTTAGTCAATTGTAGTTCCATACATATAAAATTATTATTTTTTCCTTTTGAATTTTTTTTTATTTTCCTATTTTTACAATTTTGGTACCTGTGTCTAGTGCATTTTACATATTTTGTAAATAAATAAAGGTTTTTGACAGGAACTATTTTTTTCAGGGCATAGGAGGCTACTTCCTGGGGTAGAAGTTCATTTTTCTTTGACTTAGAAAACGGAAAACTTAGGATCCACCCCCCTCAAATCTGCTGCCGTTAATTGTCTCGCCAGCGTTAGGGGAATATGGGTGATTTGCATCAATTACACTTTTATTGACTCCATCGCTGAGGAAAAATGGACGGGATTTCTTGACATGAGTGACTATTCCTTCGCCAAGCACCCGGCATTAGATTTGAAAGTCACGGGTCTTTCGGATGAGACCATAAAAACCGAGATCTCGTGTCATGGTAGGTGTTGGCACGAAAGAATTCTCATAATTGCTCAACAGCCCTAGGTGCCGAGAAAAGGTCTAAATTTGAAGCCCTTCACTGGTATGATGTATCTACGTATATGAGTGAAATAATCTTGAAAGGGACGCAAAACTAGTCGAATGGAATGTAAAATAACATACAATCAATAATGCTAGTCACTTTCCTGTACCTGTTCTGCTCCGTGTACTCTGCGGCAATGCCTTGGCGTCGATATGCTGTGGAGTTCTAGAAGCATAACAGGGACAATGAACCAGGCTAGGCTAATTTTAGCCTGGTTCCCTGGCTCATCCTTGTCAAGTGTCGCGGAGTATATGAAGCATAACAGGGACAGGGAACCAGGCTAGGTTAATTTCTGGTGCTGTACGTAGTCTCACTAAAGTCTCGCCAGAGCTACTGAGCCCGGAACTTCTCTGGTCTTTTTATTTACTGAACACCGAAAAATCAAAGAATTAGTAGGATTGATAATGAGGACACTAGCTTTGTTTTAATTAACTTAATATTAACTTTAGAATATTACCTATTATATATTTGCTGCAATTATATAGCAGTACCAAAAAGAAAATTCCGGTTTCGTGAAGTGTGCATAGTTCTGTCGGAACTCCTCGATTTTCTTAAATACTACTTTCTACTTTCAGTTTCTATCTATATATTTACTGTTTTTAATTTTTTTTTTCGATTTGAAGAGGTCATGGGAAATGACAATAGGACTGTTCTAATCACAGGTACGATAGTTTTATCTTAAATGTAGCTAATGTGCAACATATACCATATACCTAAAGTAGGTCAATGCATATACATGTGTATGCTATAGAAATGATTTCAGGGATGATCCTTGGTATTACCATAATTTGACTTGTAACTGCATCTGTTAATGTTTTAAACAAATGTGAGGAGAAAAAAAAAATCCGATATCAGGTGGTGACCAAACCAAATAGCTCAGTCAATAAAGCATCTCTTTTTCTAGTAAACGTTAGATAATCCTATTCTAGCATTTTTAGGAATATTGTTGTGACCATCTCCTTCAACTGATAGTCGTACAAAATACTGTGGGTTAACCTGGAGTCGATATTTCCATCAGAAGTGATATTGTCACAACTTCATGTTATTTCAAAATACTGGCATGAAAGTGTAATGTACATGTCATCATTTTACAGGATTTGGGCCTTTTGGGGAACATTCAGTCAATGCCAGCTGGGTGGCTGTACAGAATCTGAAACGAAGGAACTTGTTACCTGATGTCAATGTGCATATTGAAGAAATTCCAGTAGATTATCAAGAAGTCAGCCAAATTGTAACAGAATTATGGGAAAGGGAAGATCCTCTGGTACTGCTCGTACTTTTTGTGATTACCATAACAAAATCATTAGAAATAAGCGTTAAGAGAAATCAATGACTTACCTGAATGAAATTTGAAGATAAGGAACAATAATTATGCTCGAAAGTCCAATTAAACAATACATATTGTGAGCAGAGCAAGCACGGACCTCTAAAAACAGAGGAGGGATCAGGTGCCATTAAGGAGGGAGCATCCTGGATATAATTGTATCTTAATGTAAATATATCTGCATAAGGTTCAAAATAGATTGATTAATCTTATATACATGTATTGTCTATTATGTAATTTTAAATACTATAGGCTACACTTGAATTACATGGTACATGTATTATAGTCGCCCATCGTACATGTATATACATACTACATACACGTATTCAAATTGTGGGTGGGGTAGGACAGATGTTTCAATCTTTATGATATTACCTACATCTACTATAACAACGCCAAAATACCTTGATACAATGTATTACTAAATTATACTTTCCAGCTGATGGTGCATGTCGGAGTCTCTGACTTCGTAAATAAAATCACACTAGAACAGAGAGCTCACAACACCGGCTACTATCTCAAAGACATCAAAGGAAAAACTCCCAATAAGGAATGCTGTAGGGAAGAAGGGGAAGAGTGTATCTGTGCAGGGCTTGACATGAGTCGAGTCAGTGCCGAGATCAACAACGCAGATAACGAGCTGCAAGCAGAGGTTTCTTATGCTAAGACTGGGAGGTGTGATTTTTAACGTTTTCAACATCATTTGTGCTATTTTGGAATTAGTAAACAGATTTTCAATTAGAAAAAAATAATATATTGAATACCATTTATATACATGTACACCTCAAAAGAGGCCAAACTGAGTTTAGAAGATTTGACTTTTTTTTACTTTGAAAACTATCCCAGTTTTCATGGTTTCGAAATTATTTAGCATACTGAAATTATTCAACATATGTAGATGTTTATACTTAGGTTTTGTGTGTTTTTAAGGTACCTGTGCGACTTTGTTTATTACATTTCTCTATCCATCAACAAGTCGCGCTCCGCTTTCATTCACGTCCCACCCCTGAATCAGCCATACACGGAAGATCAGTTAGGGGAAGGTGTGGCTGTGGCCATTTCTGCAATGCTGAAGCAATTGCCTAAGTAATGGTGCTCAATGGTGTACGACTTGAAAGGAATGAGTCTCGATCTTTTTTTGAATTTTCAAAATCCATTGTTACTATATAATTGGTGCTTGGAATTCACAAATAAAGGATAAAACAAATGGATTTCTATGATTCTAAGAATACTTATGAGCGTCCTGGGTTCGTTTTGTGTACATATAGAGTGCCATTTGAAATTTCAAAGACTCGACAATCACACATATTTTGAGATGTATTTAAATTATTGAATTTTTTAAATACTTAGAAGTGAAATTTCTGAAGTTACACAGGCGGACCAAGCTGGGGGAAGGACCTGGGGAGGGGGAGTTAGTCGGCTAGATGAATGATGCATCTGAGGATAATGTTTCTAGGTTGTTATAACCCTTCATACAAATCTAGTGTCGATACTATTCATCTGTATAGACTCGTAGCAGCTATTTCAGTTGTGCGTGTTTTACAAATCTATTTGAGACGGAGCCCCCCCCCCCCCCGGTCCTCCACGATTTTAAACGTAAGAATATGCAAGCATACCATTTGATACATTAAAATTTAATGCACCGATTCTATTAAAAAATTATTTGATGTGCATTATTTAGATACAAATCGAAAGTATACATGTTACACCAACAGATGGATCACTGCTATCAGAAAGAATGTGGCAAGATAAAGAAAAGCTGGGTTATAAATTTTCTTTACTATACTATTTTACATAGCAGTTGCGATAGTTGAGATGCCTGCCCTTTGTCCATCAGTCTGTCTATGTGTAAACGATATTGCAAACACTACTCTTTCTTTATTTTTGGTTTGATTTCTGATTTTCAATAAAACTTGAGTGCAGTAGTACACACCAAGACACATACTTATATGTGTTTCGGATTTTGATTCCGATTAACAGTGTTGCATGTTTATTAGGTTTAGAAAATTCTGTAAAATTCTTTTAAAATTCTATCCCTTCAGTAAAACTTGGTACACGTAAAAGAATAATCATGAAAAAAAAATTGGAATTCTTCTTCTCCTAAAGTGAGTTTCCAATGAAACAAAAACAAACCAATCGAACTACAGTCTCAAAAGAGACTTTTCTTTTAAGTAGGCAATGCATTACGAATCTTGTAAAATCTGACCAGACTGTTTATTATGTAATGTTAGGATTAAAGTACATTATGCATTTTTCATGTTGCATATTGTATGCGCCTCCATCGTTCATGACACACATGTATATACATGTGTATTTTATTTTTAGTTTAGTGCAAGGCCCCTTCGTACAAATATACCTCTATTTTTGCATAACATTTAACATATATTTACAAGTTGTAAAATAGCTATATTTGATTATTTTCATTTGTCATTTATATCGTTCTGTATATAATAGTCAAAGAAAACGATAAGCACCAAGAAATTACTCTTCATTATACCTCACCATGCAGTTTTTTAAAGGTTCAAATAATATCAAAAAAATCATTTAGTACTTGCAGAAGCGCATTTTAAAATGTAAAAGACTGAAATTTAAGATCAATATTTTCCTCCTCTATCTTTTTTTTTCTTTGTACAATTCTTTGACTTTATCGTCTAATGCTATCTGGAACTAACGATTCTGTTATCGGTTACGACAAATCAAGAAGTGTGAAAAGACGTGAATGTCCTATTATAATACCAGATCTCATATATAAAGATGCGAAACATTAAGCCAGAATCGTCCATATTCACACAGACATGTAAATACGCTTTGGCTATACTACAAAAAACTAAGTCCATTGAAAAATCGAGTTTGACATCAACTACATGAACTTGCAGCAGACTGATGTAGTTGTGTTATACTCTATTTATTGTGATTTATTAGGCTTTTATCTGCAGAAAGTGTATGCGGCCAAAACTTCACAAAAATTTAACATGGGAAAAGCATTTCTAAGAAGGTTCGTTACATATAGGATTAACTATAGGTAAGAGATAGGATTTTTGACTAACTCGCTCAATTCTGATACTTTGTCTCAGAAAGTATGTAATTATTGTCTATCGCAATTAATTCAAACTAATTAATATGCTGCAAAAAGTACATAATATTTGTTCTTAAACAACGTATTTCTTTCCCTTCCTTGACCATATTCGCTGGTCATTACTAATCAACTATTCTACATACAAGCCTGAAGGAAAATCAGGACATATCTAATACGATAGTTACATATGTACAACATACATGACGTTATTGAATAGATATATTCCTAAGAACTGTTCCAGAGTTGTTGCTTTTATATCTGTTAATTGCCTCATGACCTTGATCTTTGAGATATGACCTTGACAGTTTACATCTGGTCAACAATATACTTGAATCCATCCTAGTAAGAATGTTTAGTTCTAGTAGGTGAAAAAAGGTATAAAAATTGTGATTTTATGGTCTCAGCCTCCCTGGGGTCTTAGGGATGGGATTAAAACCATCAAAATTAGTGATATCTTTATCTGGAAAACAAGCAGTCAAACTGTTGGCATGATTGTAATAAGCATTGAACCCTCTACCGAAATTGTGAAATTCATGGCCCCAGGGTCAGGGGTTCTGGAGTTGGGTGGGGCTCTAATGATCATATAGTGAAAATGCATAAATTCTTTAAAAATCTTCTTGTTTCCCCTTGTATATAAAGCAGATAAACTAAATGCATGGTTATGATGATCAAGGGTGCCTCTTCCAAAATTGTGAAATTTGTGGCCCCAGGGTGAGGGATTCTGCGGCGGGTGGGTGGGTTATAGATTATATTTGATAAAAGTGTATTTTTCTTTGAAGATCTGTTCCTGGGTATTAAGCAAACAATTCAAGTGCATGATATGATGAACAAGGATGTTTCTTCAAAAAAGTTAATTTCATGGCCCCCTCGGTCAGGGGTTCTGGTGTTAGGCGGGACTCTATTGATTTTATAGTGAAAAGGCATTAATTCTTTGAAAATCTTCCCTGCTCCTGGGTATAAAGCAGATAAACTAAGTGCATGGTCATGATGATCAAGGGTACCTCTTCCGAAATTGTGAAATTTTTGGCCCCTGTGTCAGGGCTCTGCGGGGGGGGGGGGGGGGGGAGGGGGAGCTCTATTGATTATATAGTAAAAGTGCACCATTTCTTTGAAAGTCTTCTTCTCTGCTCATGAATATTAAACAAACAAATTAAGTGCATAGTTATGATGAGCAAGGGTGCGAGCTGAAGGCTCAGAAAGCTAATGCTATGGCCATTTAAGCGGAGTGCGTCAACTTTTTGGAATATGGGCCATATTTGAAAAACCCCTCGGCCAGTTTTTGTAAAATTTGTCACAGAGTATCCTTGCCCCAAGGGCTTTCATTCTACTAAATATAGGGATGTGACAACAAGACGAGGTAATTAGGGGAATGAAAACAAAAGTAGTGGTTGCTTAATAATTTTCTTTTCAAGAACCACTTTACAGATTATTACCAAATTCATGCATAAGGATGAAGATATGTAGTTTATTAAAATTGTTCAAGGCATCACCCTGGAGCAAAGGGTGTGGTCTCAAGGTCACTTCAAAGTTGGCCTTAAATGATGTTTTGCTAAAACTTTGATATTTTGCCCACTATAAGGACTAGGATCATGAAATCTTGTCACTTGATGCATCTTAGGACCTCAGATGCACATTTTGGACACTTTGAAGCCTATGATTATCCAACCTTGTAAGTTAATGCATCCTAAGGCCTCGGAATATATCAGCAAGTAGGTCACGGATACCTTCTTTTGGAATTTCATGGCTGTATTTAAATATTTCAGATACTAAGTGGCTTTGAATCATCAAACTTTGTTAGTTGATGCATCTTGGGTCATTGGAGTGTGTCAACCAAAGATTAGGTCACCGTGGCCTACTTTTGACATTTTATAGCTATATATAAATATTTCAGCTAATAAAAGGCTTAGAATCATCAAACGTTGGCAGTTGATGCATCTTGGGTCTTCGGAGTAGGTCAACCAAAAAGTAGGTAACCATAATCTACTTTTGGAATTTCAAGGCAATATCTAAATATTTCAAATAATAAGAGACCTAGAATCATCAAACTTTGTCAGTAGATGCATCTTGGGTCCTCGGAGTGTTCCGTCTAAAGAGTAGGTCACTGTTATCTATTTTTGGAATTTCATAGTTGTATCTCAATATTTGGGATATAAAGAGGCTTAGAATCATCAATTTTTGTCAGTTAATGTCAGAGTAGGGGCAAACAGAGTATATGAAGTTGTATTAAGCAAGTGTATTTTTACCACATTACTGATATTCTGCACAACTTGGCCAATTTATCAATTTGTGTTCTACTGAAGATGTTATTCCCCATTGCTATTCACCTATGATAGCTAATCACTGTAAATAATGTAATTGAAATGTCAATTGAATTACGGAGCTATAAAAGAATTTTTACGAAATTTTAATACAGAAAGTACTTTCATAATTTTTAATGGTCATATAGACTTATGGTAAACAATAGATAAATAAAAATGTATCTTTGTGCATTAAATGTTCTTCAAAGACCAAAAGAGACCAATTTGAGAGAGAATGAGATGGGTTTACTAAAAGTGCTCAAGAACTATTGTTTTGATTAGTCCGCATGGGGATAGTGACATTTGGGGTCAAGTTAATAAGTCAACTTTAAGATTTGTTACCGAGTACTAAATTAATTAAATTGATTATTTTGCTGATCCATGATCATCCTAATCCTCTTGCTTTGGGGCAAATAGCTTTATTTTTCAGCATATTTTGTTTAATCTATACTTCAATCTGTGGATCCTCTACAGTGTTACGTTATACTCAGGTGACCGATAAGGTCTTTGGACCTCTTTTATAAATATTGTATGCAGTTGAGGGTAACATTGTCAACCGATTCGTCGAGAAACATTTGTTAACTCTCCAGCGTAACAAAACGTAGAAACAGTCAACATTGCTATATCCCCCCCCCCCCCAAAAAAAATGTTGACTGCGCAAAATTTATGCGTGCACCGTTCATTGTTATACGTATTTGAACGAAACATTCTGTATAATATAATAAATATTGCATATATATAGTTGAGAGTAACATTGAAAATTTTGTGAATTGGAATAATAACTGCTTTAGACTATGATGTTGGAAATATACCGGAGTCGAAATATTTGTTGAAAAGATACACTAGAATAGGGAGAATCAGATCGCGAAACTCCGAGAAAAATCCATTCATCAACTGCACTTTTGTTTGTTTTCAACTTTTCTATATACAGGCTTCAATTCTTTTGGAGTAATTTCAGTGTCCTAGAGCTTAAATAAAGGGTTATTAGTCTCCATAAATAATCGTTAGCAAAGTTCTGAAAGTGCTAAAATAAAAATGAAAGCCTAACTTTTGATGCTGGTGTGGCTTTTATGCCCCTGTAATCGAAGATTCGGGGGCATATAGTTTTTGTCCTGTCTGTCTGTTTGTCCGCAAAAACTTTTTAACCTTGCTCATAACTTTTGATTGGCTAGAGCTATGGCTTTCATATTTCACATGTGTATTTCTTGTGACAAGACCTTTCTTTGGGTACCTTCAAATTTGACCTTTTGACCTTGGAGTTTGACCCACTTTTGCAAAAATTTTATCAGACTTTAACCTTTACCATGACTTTTGAACAGTTGGGGCTTTCATATTTCGCATGTGTATTCCTTGTGACAAGACCTTCCTTTGGATACCAACAATTTTGACCTTGACCTTGGAGTTTGACCTACTTTTGAAAACTTTAACCTTGGTCATTACTTTGATTAATTGTCGCTAGGGCTTTCATACTTCACATGTGAATTTCTTGAGACAGTATATTCTTCCAAGGCAGATAAATATCGATTAAGTTTTGCTCTTCCCATTTAAAATTTTAATGGAAGTATGCCGAAAAGTTACCAGTTCCGAAGTGATCATCAGCACAGAAAAGAAAAGTCGTTGATGTATGATCTGAGAACGCATTATACTTAAAAAATTGTGTGCACGTTTGGAAATATGATGCAATAAATATTCGTACAAATGTCGGCGTGTTTACATTCGCAATGAAAAGTTCTCTGTTTTAACTAAAATAAAATTTGGTTAAAAATAGCTATGGAATTTCAACTGTTATTTTTAACACACTAAAGTCATGTGACATCGAAAGGTCATGTGATTTTGTTGTCGTCTGCTGTATAAAAAATACATGTATTTCCAAACAGTATAATGCGTTCTCAGTACTGATCTCCACGGGCACTGGAAGTTAATGTAAATATTGAGTATGTGCATGTATAAAAATGGAAGGGTAGGACACTCTTTTTGAGCTAATTTGAGCTATATTATGATTGGTCAGTCAAACTGCAGAAAATTAAAATCAAAAGTAAAACATCGTCCAAAGAAAATTCACCGACTCGTGAATCCAGTAGGAGATGGCTCAATTAACAAATTTTCCAAAGAGCAGTCTAGCAAAATTCTTAGGCACTTGGAGGTGTAAAAACGTCTATTTCTATATGCATTGGAGCGGAATGAAGCGAGATCGCCATAGTGTAATCAAGAATTTTCACGTGCCAGTCGGCGAAGAGAGTTTTGAGTTGGAAATGAAAGAAAATAAAGACAGGCATACGGGGTTTATATCTCTCAGTTGATTCGATACGCCAGAGCATGCTCTACGTATGAACAATGATCTCTAAAACGAGGTAAGTTATTGACAAACAAGTTGATGAAATAAGAATATCAACAGTCTCGTTTAAAGTCATCATTTTGTAAGTTCTATGGTCGATACAATGACCTTGTCAGCAAATACGATCTATCATTAAGTCTGACTGACTGACTTTTTTCATACTAATTGTTAGGCCATTATTTACACACAGAATTGTCGACGGATTTCCCCGTTATTTCCCGATCATGACAAGGAGCACACGGCGGCGGGTGTGACCGGTCGGCAGGGGATGTTCACTCCTCCATGGCCCCTGATCCCACCTCTGATGTCTTAGAGGTCCGTGTTTGCTCTGCTCTTATTTTGTAATGTTTAATGGACTTTTGAGTTCGAATACTGTTCGTTATCTCCACATATTTCATATATAGGATCATGTATAGATAAATTATTGTAAAAAAGAATGATAATAAACACTGAGTTGGCCAGTGTACAGGTACGGAAGCCCATTTAGGACCTGTCAAAAATATTTTCGAATTCGATATAACGAATTGTCGAATTTGCTATAACGAATTTAATTCGTTATAACAATTACTTTGAATTCGTTATAACAAATTTGATCTGTTATAACAAATTTGTTGAATTCAAAAAATTTGTTATAACGAATTAAATTCGTTTATTTAAACGAATTCTAAAAATTTTTATAACAAATTTAATTTGTTATAACGAATTCAAAAATTTGATATAACGAATTGAATTAGTTAGATCAAATTCAACAAGCAGGGCCTATAGAAAAATATGTATAGATTTAATATAACGATTTGGCGAATTCGTTTTAACGAATTTAAATCGTTATAACAAATTAGAGAATTCGTTATAACAAGTTTCAGAATTCGTTATAACAAATTTTTGAATTCGTTATAACAAATTTTTGAATTCGTTATAACGAATTCAACAAATTCTACAATTCGTATATATCGAATTCAAAAATATTTTTTGATAGGTCCTAAATGGGCTTCCGTACACAGGCCCTTAGATCGCTTAAAAAAATTAAGGTGTTAAAAAAAATATCTTTTTTATACATCCCACTTTTTTAAAGTCGGATTTAAGCGATCCATAAGCCTGTGGGTCAGTGGTGTAAATGACTGCGCCAGATTCTGGTGGAGGGGAGTTACTCCATGTAATTCGGAGTTAGATACCTTGTGTTATTATACTAGTACTGTGGAAAAAATTATTACAGAAACAAGTACCGGTGTTTTAAACGTATTAATGAATATAAATTTATATTAGACATATTAGAAATGAATTGAAAAAACTAATATTCAAGTTTTAGTTATGAGTTGACATTTGATTTGTTTTAAAATATGATGCCCAAAGTCTTTGGAGATCAGCACGCGCACTGTAAATTAATAAATATTAAGTATGTGCATGTATAAAAGGAAGGATATGGCACTCTTTTTTAGGCGGGTTTGGGGTATTGTGGATTTATAACGGAAACAACTTAGCGCCCGTGGTTTAAAATTAGAATGTATTCGCACTTAAAAGTTTCATTGCAAAGGACTCGAATAAATAAATAAATAGGCTTTTAAAAAAAAAATGGCCCTAGGCCAAGGGCACATATATATTTGTTGGTGTACAGTGTAGTAGGAAAGATGAAACATCATTTCAAATCTCCAACTTTTGTTGTTTCGCTATGTACAACTAGCAACTACTTATAATCATTATAAATATAATATTAAATAAAACGGAAAATTGACTTATAATAGTTTGTATCAATGTCTATCCAGAGTTATCGTTCCCACTACGCTCCACTTATACCTCTGTCAACGTCTAAAAAGTAGTATGGAAGGCGGAGACGCGTGGCCCCTATCACAGGAAGATTAACAAGCGTATAACCTTCACTTTTCTGTATATGTGTCAATGCTGCAAGTTGTTTGTCTTTAAAAACTAAACCATGTTGATATTTGTCGGCAATGCGTTTTAAATTTTCCACGTTCTTCATATTCTGTCTACATGAGTGATGCAATATCCCGCCGAGAAATAATCCCTTGTAAGATACGGGGATACAGATATATCTCTTTCTAATTTTCATACATAAACTTTTCTTTAAATTTTAAAGCTAAAATATTTAACTTTAAAATTTATAATTTGTTCTGCAATAGGTCAGGGTAAGTTTTGCCAAGAATCTTGGCATTAAGACGTTAACAGAGGTGTTGTAGCGAAGCGTAATACGCCCTCTGGTGAGAGATTGAGTTTGTATCGGAACTCCTCGATCTCATTTCTACTTTCACTTTCCTTTCATGTGTATAATCTTGTTGACATGACAGTCGTCCGTGTTCAACAGTTTACAGTATATTAATTTGATCATTACTTCTTTAATTATTTTTCAGAAGTTGCGGGATTTTATGTGCATCAAACATGGGAAATGAAAAGAGGACTGTTTTAATTACAGGTACGACAATTAAATAAAAAAAAAAAAAATTAAATAAAATTAGATATAGATCTAACGTTACACGTAATGATGTATATGTTGATCACTTCATGAAGTATCTGGAGCTTGGAAGACAACGGGCAAAATAGTATATATGGCAATATGTTATGGAAGTACGTTAAACATTATTCTATTTTGAGAATAGTTGAATCAAACTCTTCATCATGCAACTATATTCATATCATATGGAAAAGAAATCGTATGGAACCGCTCAAAAGTTCAGGACTCTTGATGAGAGTGAAATTATAAGGGCCAGATAAAGATTGTTTATTTGTGAATATTTATTTTAAAATAAACAAGACACTTAATACTAAATATATCTACTCAGTAGTGATCATTTTATTTTGATTTCTTTCTTTTTGAAAAAGAGACTGTAATTTAGCATGATAAATTGTTTATTACAGTATGTTTTTAAAATTATTTCTATAACAAAAGTGCTCTTGCTATTTCAGGATTTGGACCTTTTGGGGAACATTCAGTCAATGCCAGCTGGGTGGCTGTACAGAATCTAAAGCAAAGGAACTTGTTGCCAGATGTCAATGTTCACATTGAAGAAATTCCAGTAGATTATCAAGAAGTCAGCCATATTGTGCCAGAATTATGGAAACGGAAAGATCCTGCGGTATACTGTATTCTGAAATTTTAATGGAAAAAAATCCAGTCTTATTTAGGATCAGAATGTAATAACATTGTTTGATAAAGTGTATTAAAGTTACACCTAAAGTATTCCTTTAAAATCACTTTTGATCCTTAAATTACTTGTAATAAACTCGTCAAGGCTTTCAGGAAGATTAGAAACAGGTGGTACTTTTACAAAAAATAGGAGGTAGCTTGAACTGATTTTAACTAAATTATGTTATAAAATTTTTTCTCCAACAAATATTTTGACCAGTACAATTGTGATTTCCACCGAGTAAAAGTACCAGGTATCAGCAGATTTTTAAAGGCGACTGCTTAAAAGCATATTTTTTCTTCATGTTTAATTGTTCATTTTGAATGGCAAATTACATTAAAACTTGTACAATATTCTTAATATCAATATAACCTAAAGAACTTTTCCAACTAGTCTACACACCATATGTGGATTAAGGTGGGGCACTCCTAGCGCTCGCCCCCCCAAAAAAAAAATATTTCAGGTATATTTTCACTGTCATACATTGATGTAATAAAGGTAAAATTACAGTCATTTTATGTGCCAAAATAACTTTTACTACTTGCTGATACTGAGGAGCTTAAGGGGGCTTAGTCCAAGCCCCCCCCCCCCCCCCCCCATCAGACACTGTCTTGACCTGCTGGGCAATTCGGCTGTACCCAAACCACTTGCAATCTAATAGAGCCCCTTCTAATGCAAAAAACTGGATCCGTGCCTGTACGTATAGCTTTAACAAATTGACATGGACCTTTGTTATTTTTAGCTGGTAGTACATGTTGGTGTCTCAGGAATAGCAGATAAATTAACGTTAGAACAGAGAGCTCACAATGTAGGTTACCACCGCAAAGATGTCAAAGGGAAAACTCCCAATAAGGAATGCTGTAGAGAAGAAGGGGAGGAGTGTATCTGTGCAGGGCTTGACATGAGTCGAGTCAGTGCTGAGATCAACGACACAGATAACGAGCTGCAAGCGGAGGTTTCTGAGGATGCTGGAAGGTATGACTTTGACATTTGTTACTGTACATTTTGGTGTTGATTTTAATTGTATACAGTGGAGCCTTGTTAATCCGGACTTATATACTCAGGATGCTTCAAATTCCAGATGAGATTTATGGGAATTTAATTTACATTTACTGTATATCTACCAATTATTAAAGAATTGTTTCAAGTAATTCAGACCTTCATTTATCTGGACAATTTGCTTGGGAACGTAAGTGTCCAGATTAACAAGGTTTGACTGTACATGCATGGTGGAAAATTTTTAATGTTCAGTGTGTTTGACAGAGAAATCTGAATGCCACGTATACTACTCTTAGTAGTGGCTTGTTGTTTTATCCTCATGGCCATTCTAGATCCTATTAAGATTTCAAAAAGAGTTAAACCCCTCCCCCAGCCATCCCTGATAGAATGATTTTAAGTCCATGTATAATTCTACCTTTACAAGCAAAGTGTTTCTGATATGCCTTTCTTCTCACAAACAAAATCAAGAAACGTTCCTTATTGAAAAAATACATGTAGATATTGTCAATGACTATAGCTTTGCAACACATTTTTTGACTGGTCAAAAGATAACAAATGAAACCAATCACATCTCATATATTTCATTCTTAATTTTAACAGCTAGGCAGCACAACAATAGCTATTCAAACTGATGCTCGTTATGTACATGTATATTTCAATAACTGACATGTATACTTATATTTTAATCAAATTTATGTTAACAGGTATTTGTGTGACTTTTCCTATTACACTTCCCTGTCAATCAACAAGTCTCGCTCTGCTTTTATTCATGTCCCACCATTGAATCAACCATATACAGAAGATCAGTTAGCAGTGGGTTTAGCTATGGCCATTTCCTCAATGCTGAAGCAACTCCCAGAGTAATGCTGTACAAGTTCTTCTACAAAAGGCATCAAAGTTGATCAATATATAATGGTCTTTGCCTTTATTAGACTTCTCAAATTGAAAATGGTCAACAAAATAAAACTTGTGCATTCTCACGATGTGAAGGTGAACCTTCTCAATACTTTTGAAGTTATTAAGCAGTTTGTTGAATCAGTGATGTATATCTCCAGAAAACTACAATTATAATTCTTTTCATGCAGTGCTATAGAAGATTGATGAGTGATTTATTTTTGAACAAGCTCTGATACTTATGGTAGATGGTTATTCTGTATTCATATACAGTAGAGCTTTGTTAATCTGGATGTTTGTGTTCCCAAGCAAATTGTCTGGATTCTGGATAACTGAAACTTATAGTCTTTTATTGTTAGAAATAATTATTAATTCTGTTCACAACAAGATTTATTGTTGGGAGATAACTGGATCTAGATTACTGAGGCTACACTGTACATGTAATATTACTGCTCATCAGCTTAATGTCTTTTATTTCAATATTTTCAGTAAATTTCATCCGTTCTCTATGATTTGTTAGAGCTGTGCCAGTGTTAACATTTTGATTTATTGCTGATCAGTTGTATATAATGTTATTTTTGCTGCAATTTTATTTTTGCTGTTTTCATGGCAGAATATACACTGCAGTTAAATAAACATGCAAAGTCCTAAATTAAAGACAGAAAACTGGTTATTTACTATAGAGGAAATAGGGAAAAATGTGTAAAAGAATAATTATGAACAAATCAATATTGTTTTCAGTTATTCAATTTTACATATCTAGTGTCATTGACATGTCCTCAAAATGTTTGTTTAAAAAACAAGAATTATTTTGGCCTGTATTCCGGATGTGTGTAAATAAACCACATTTTTGTGTGATTTAGGCTTTGCTGTATTTAGGTACATTCTACAAGTGCAATATCTAATTCCTAAATATAAAAAATAAAAATAATTGAATATATAATCTTCTTATTCTTCACTCTACAGTAATGATCAAAGATGAGACTAGAAGAACTTACACATTGATAAAGTATGCATCATCCATTTGGCTGCTTGTTTATAATTACCCTTACACTCTTTTTATGCCCCGCCATGAATATGACCAGTGTTTGTCCTGTCTGTCCTCCATCTTTCTGTCACACTTTGTGCTTAGCTCATTTTCAAAGAAACTATTTAGGATGTTTTTATATCAAACTTTATATGCTGACACTTATTGATGAGAGCAACTGCATCAACATTTTTTTTTTACCTTTCCTTTGGCCTTGACCTCACTTTTCAAAAATTTGTGTTTAGCTCAGTTTCAAAGATTTTTTTTTATCAAACCCTATATGCTGATACTTATTGATGAGAGCTATTCAACTGCATCAACATTTTTTTACCTTGACCTTTCCTTTGACACTGACCTCGCTTTTCAAAAATGTGTGTTTAGCTAGGTTTCAAAGAAACTATTCAAGATATTTTTATTAAACCTTATATGCTGATACACATTAAATAATGCTATTCAACATCATCAACATTTATTTACCTTGACCTTTCCATTGAGCTTTGGCATCACTTTTAAATTTGTGTTAAACTATTCACAAGATCTTTTATCAAACCTTGTATGCTGATACATATTGATGAGTTCTTTCGGTTGTTCTCCAGATATAAGGTGTGACAGACAGATAGATGGACAGACACCAGGTAAAGTGATCATTAAGTGTCTCTCTGCTATGCAGAACTTTAGAGAGAGTTCAGATCATATGTGAGGTTTTTTTTTTTGTCTTTTCACTTATCTTAAAAAAATAATGGAAAAATAAATTGTTTAACAATTAGTAATTCAATAAAATAAAGGAATCAAAATTGGAACTTCTCTATGAACTTTTAAAATTGAGGACTACCTTATGAAAAATTATTAAAACTGGATAAAACTGAGGAGTACCCATATTTTGGCCACATCGGGACTTTCATTTACAAATTGCACAGACTTAATAAAGTAAATTGTAAACAAGAGATGTTTGTGAAACACTTAGCCCCCCCCCCCCCCCCCATTCCAAATCATTCGAATTTTTCTAAGTCCAAGGGGCATAACTTTGTCAAAAATTGCTCCATCGTACCCAAAACAGAACTTGACCTAGATATTATGATAAATCTGTATACCAAATTTCATTTCAGAATGTGCAACCTCTGCAAAGAAAATGAACAGAAACTGCAAATAATTGGAATTTTCTTAAGTCCAAGGGGCATAACTCTGTCAAAAATTGCGTGATCATACTCATTATAGAACTTGCCCGAGATATTCTTATGATAAATCTGTAAACCAAATTTCATTTCAGTATGTGCAACCTCTTCAAAGAAAATGAATGGAAACTGCAAATAATTGGAATTTTTCTAAGTCCAAGGGGCATAACTCTGTCAAAAATTGCTCCGTCGTACCCAAAACAGAACTTGACCTCGATATTCTTATGATAAATCTGTATACCAAATTTCATTTCAGTATGTGCAACCTCTGCGAAGAAAATGAATGGAAACTGTTGGTGAACTGACAGACGAACAGACAGACCAACCGACAGACAACAGTAAAGCAATATGCCCTCCCTTCTTCGAATGGGGGGCATAATAATATCGGAAGAAAGCTTATGTTCTTTGATGGAAGATTTTCAAAAGAATTTTTTCAAGATCTTCCTGTGTATATACTTTGACACAACCCCCTCACAACAAAAACATAGGAAGTAAGGAATATATGAGCAAAGCCTGCTGCCTAATTATGTATTTTACATAACATGTTCAAACAAGACTGAGCAAATTGATTGACCCAAAGTGAGTTTTTTCAAGTGGGATCTTATATAGAATCGAAAAAAAGGATGTTGCATTACATTAAAAATATCTTTTTGTATAAGAATAAATGAGTCGAAAACAATATAAATTCACAAATTTAATTAAAATATATTTATTGCCTCAATCAGACATCAAAAACTTTACTAGAAGGTAAGAAGTAAAAGGTAAAACTGAGGGCAACTCTAAATAGCCATCAAACATTTTATAACTTTATAGAACAAAAATAAAACTTAACAAAAATCATAGATCATGACAGGGAATGAAATCAAATAAATAAAGAAAAAATGTACAAGTTAATTTTTGAATTCTTCATTTCTGAACTGTATTTCCTAGTAATTTACAACTGTAAGAAAATCAAGGACACACAAGAGAATTACCATATCAGTTGAAGTCAAGAAGATCTACAGAAATCACGTCACACAGTGTGAACTTAGAACTTTGACATTCAATCAGCATATCTGATAGTTATGATTTGGTAATCACATCATAAATTAGCCCCATCAGTTTGAACATTCACCATATGTATGTGAATTTATCATTTGGTGAAGTTAATAATTTAATACTTTATATTAGTGTATAATGTGATTAAATATGTATATAAAATAAGAACACATGCAGTACTTCACTGAATGAACAGATATTCGATTCATTTTTCAAATTCATTTTACAATATTTTTCATTTGGAAGTTTTGGACAGCATTGCACAGGTAGATGTCTCAGCTACATTCCAAACACAAAAAAAAAAAAAAAAAAAAATCACATTTACAGTTTTGTGACTATTTTTTCAATATACACCCTTATTAATTGTAAACCAAGTACATGTATAAAGTAATGAATGATAGTTTAACAAGTAAAAACAAGAAAGATATAAAGCACAGATTCTGATGATGATGATATGTAAATTAAAAATAAACAGTTCTACTCTGACTCAGAAAGAAATAACACAAATAAAAATAATTTGCTCAACAGAAACTGATACAATTAACATACAAGAATAATTGGTACCCGTATCCATGGATAAACTAGGCCTCTCTCCCATTTGCTTTAAAACTTATTGGACTATTCAGAACATAAATCTAATTTGTTGTTTGTTATTTTTTTTTTTTTTTTTTTTTTTTTTTTTTTTTTTTTTGTCGTACTTGAAAGACTGATTTTCGTGGAGAAAGCTTTGTCAAACCATTTACATTTTGTGTTCAACTGGCCCTTTAAAAGCCATTTTATTTGACTTATACCTTTTGAACCAAAGAAGATCTTTATACTGGTACTTCAAATAGTGTTAATATTTAAAATACAACAAATTACATAAATTTATTTAGACTTTGTGATTGCCTGGAAAAAAAGCACTACACATCATTCAATGTAACAAGACTGTAAGTCAAAGTGGGTCATTTATTAATTAGAGGCTTGAGGCCACAATGTTCACATTCTTTAAATAAAAAAAATTCTCTTGGAAAAAAACTGAACACCTATCATGAATCAAAGTAAGCTCTAAACGTCTAAGGGTGATACCTTCAATCAAACATGAATTTACATATTGAGATTTTTCAGGGTATAGTTTTACTATTTTTAATGCCTTAAAAAAAATTGGTAAGGATGGCAAAAGTTGAATACAATTTTGAGCAGCTGGACAATTCTCAAAGAATACTGATACCTGACAGCAAGTTAGCATTGTTATTCCTTATAAAAATATAATATCTTAAAATACATTTCTTTAACAAATATATTTTGACTTATGAAAATATGATTCAAATCCCTTTAAAGAAAATCAAACATTTTTTATTAAAAACAAAAAATGAAACCTACATATTTAATTTTTTTAATACTAAAATTGATCCAATGTGATTTGGCAAACAAATATTTAATTTTTTCTAATACATTAATTATCACAAAAGGGACATATTGCCACTGAAGAAATTAGCTATTCCAATTCATTTAAAATGATATATGCCCAATCATACATTTATTATAAATAAAAATGCAAAAAATACAAGGTTTTTAAAAGGTTAGGTAAAAATGATAAATATCAATGTATACATCAATGTTAAATTATGAGGAATAGATGGCTAAAAAGTACTCTTGCTTTTATATGCTCTCAATAACATCCTGTCAACAGAGTTTATATAAATGCACAAGAAGTAGTTCCCAAACAACAACATAAAGATCCAACAATGTACCACATATGGTGGCCATTTTTATTACTCTCCTTGGATCCAAAGCCCAAGAGAGAGAGAAAAAAATCCAAAAAAGAAGAAAACAAATTAAAGTGAATAACATGTATAACTTAACCATAGTAAGTGAGAATAAATATCAAAAAAAAAGAAAGAAAAATATCGATTGGCACTTCTATGTGAATTTTACAACATGAAATAATGTCCTTTTGAAATGAAAACCAGAAATATATACCTTTTTCCATGTTCAAAAAAATGTAATTTAATATAAATATTCAAGTATTTGATTTTGTTGATTAAATCATAAATACAAATGTAATATATTCATACATAAAGAAAAATTGTTGTCTCTAAAAATAATGATACAAATTCTAGAACCTGATTGTTAATATGCAATGGTACCAGGTACATGACAAAAGAAAAGTAACACTCATCATTAACTTCCTCTAGCTAACAACTTCCCTATCTAAAATAACAACAGATAACAGTCTCTCTTACTTTCAAAAATAAATTAATTTACTATAAATGTTCCATTAAAGCTTTTCACAGAACACAACATGTCTATCCGGATCATGATGATGATCAAGATGTTGATGGTTTTCTATCACTACTGCTGTTGTACTGTTTTCGCCAACAGAAACATTTGAGGCGCCATTAGAATTATTATTTTCTTGGTACAAATCTTTATAATCAGGCAAGGGTGGAGTATCAATCTTTTTCACCTTAGTCAACTCTACAGAGTTTTTCTGTTCACTTTTTTCCACTCGCTGTCGCATATTAAGACCACTAGTAATAAGTTCACCAAAGCCTTCCTGGTGCGCGAAAGCATAACCCGAACGCAAGGATCTTGTGCTGCGTCGAAGAGTGGAGGCACGTCTTATGTGAAGATCCTTTGAGCGTGATTTGGACTTTGTTAATCTCTGCTTCAGACGGATGCGATCTGAGAGCGTTGGATGGACATCTATATAGTAAAATCTATAGGCAATAATAGGTAACAGCAGTACGGTACAGGTTAGAAGCAGTGTAAACCAGAACTGGGCTGATGAGAACACCTGGTAGGCGACACCTTCATACGTGTAGTTAAAGGAACTTGCATACATGGCTGTTATGAAACAAAAGTAGTATATAATACTCCCCCATATTGCCACATGATGGAAAGCTGTCCAATATGTCATATCCATTGCACACTGGAATAAGAAAGATTATACACAAATGTATAAACTAATATCAGTGTTTTAAGGAATTATTTTACATCTATAAATAACAAAATTACATTTACCAAAGTAAATTAAAATAAAATTTTACTGTTTTCAAAAAAGCTTATGGTTTTACAGGTAAAAACTATGGGAAAACAAATACCAGTATAAACAATATCTTTAATCTTCTGTAATTTACATGTATGAGATTAGTAAAAAAAAAATCGTCAAAAGATATAAATTTACCCTTAAATTAACAGCCACAACTAGTGTGCTAGCAACAGCACATCCTAGTGACTGGTGATCAGTTAGATCTGTGCCATCATAGTGGACGCCATACTTAAAGGCAAAGTAAGGTATGAAAAAGAGCACTAATGATGTGATGATTCCCTCCCCTGCACTGAAAGCGAACACTTTCTTGTTGAACATGGAGTCCAGCAGTCCTGGTGTATATAGCTTAGGGTATCTTAGTGAGTAGTAATCATTGACATCCTGTAGAAAGTCAAACATTATCAGTAAAAATGAATACATGTGTATATACACAAACTATGTACTTCTGAACTTTTAAACTTCCACTCCATTTAAAAGTATGTTTTCTAATTGTGTAAGCACTGAATAATTATTTTTTCAATTTCAGAATGAAATGAATTTCAAATATGTGCAACCTGAATAATAAATGAACAATAAAATATATTTGTATGTATGAGTGCTTTTATTCTTTGAATGAAAAAAAAAACACATATAAAAATTCTATCATAATAAACATTTCTTTGCCAAAAAATTGTTCAAAATGAATGGCTTGCCACCCATATTTCCCTACCTGATCGAAGCATGCCAGGACTAGAACTGGTATGGACGTATAAAACACATTATAGAAAGACACAAAATATGGATCATATAAAGTCTGGGCAGAAAATCCACAGAAAAATGCAAACCACAGATGACACAGTGTAAAGGCAAAGTTCTTATAGAAAAAATACTTCAGAAATTTGCACATTCTAAAGTATGACCAGCGTCCATGCACCAGAAGTAAACGTTCTAAGTATCGGAACTGTGCTATTGAGTAGTCACTAGCCAGAACAGCCTGCATTCCCTCTTGTCCACTGATTCCAACTCCAATATGAGCAGCTGTAGGCAAAAACAAAGAATGATACATGTATAAATTGTGTTTTATTCCTTTAATAATTGATGCAGATGGAAAGTAAATACATTTATGCATATGTTGTGTTTCATACAATAAGCCTGGTAACCTTAAAGGTAATAGGAGAGAATGAATACATAAAAAAATATTCTGTAAAGTGACAGTCAGTTTCAAAAAATTCTTTCTGCATAAAATACAGGACTCACTCTTGATCATGCTGACATCATTAGCCCCGTCCCCAATAGAGAGTGTAATGGAGTTCTTGCTTTTCTTGATAAGATCCACCACCAGCGCTTTCTGTAGAGGAGTGACTCGACAGCAGATAATCGCTTTACAGCTACAGCCTAACTCTACTAACAGGTTCTCCTGCTCTGCACTCAAAGCATGGTACTGAAAATACAAGGATCTAAGTTACCAACAGCAGCTACTAAGGGCCATGTTGCACACAGTGTGGGTATTCAAAGGGAATGAGAATATTAGCTTTGTAAGAAAAATCTATCACATTTACACAATAAATACTGTTTCCAAAAAGTCTTACAGAAGTTTTGACTTACCAAGCTATGTCCATTGATGACTAGAGCAAAGTCCACACCTGGCATGTCTACATTTAAGTCTGCTGTGGATCCATCAAAACTGACACCTCCTCCATTGGCAATGTGAACCCTCTCCTCATTTTGTCTCTCTGCCTTGTGGTCTTTAATGGCACGAAGATAGTCCGACATCTGTTTCTTGACTTCAGGTGCTGTTTCTCCATCCACAATAAAAGTTTCCTCCATTTCATCCGTAAGCAGACGACAGGAGTATCCAATGTTAATGGCAGTTTCTGAAAGATGTTACCATAATCTGTACATTGAACTCTTTTCTCAGTTCCTTTGTACAAGTAAATCAATCATGTAGCAAAGTTGCACATTTCTGAAACTATATCGCACTCCTTACATTCTCAAGGATCAACGAGACACAGATTGGTTTTACAAATTCAGTATGTACCCTGTTTATCCCCTGTAAGCACCCAGATCTTTATCCCAGCTGCTGCTAGATTAGCTATTGCCTCTGGGACTCCATCTTGTAATTTGTCCTCAATAGCAGTGGATCCAACCAGGAACATGTCCTGTTCTATCTCCTCATAAACTTGGGATAATTTCTCATCTCGGTCCTCCATGGCTGTGCTGTCAGAAACAAACATAATATATCACCTGTTTTGTTGAGTATTTCTTGTAAATGTAAAGTCATGTGTGCTTAGAATGATGCTAGCTGATCAGCAGGGTTACCTTGCTTCATGGTGTTTGACCTTCCACACATTCCAGAAATCCTCAGATATATCTTTTGAAGCCAAGCAAAGTGTTCTAAGACCATCATTGGCAAATTCCTACAAAGAGTTATTCATGAATTTTTATCAGGATGATGTCATTTCATAGGCATTGTATTACATGTACATGTATATACCTAGTATTTCATTAATCCTCCAAAACCTAAGAAAACCTGGAGCTTACTTAATTTTTTTCACTCCATTAATTACAGGTAGCTGCTAACACAAAGCAAATGATAAACAGATTACTTGTAATTCAACCCCCTCCCATTTTAACATACTTATCTCTCTGTAGATACTATAAAACCTACATTTAAATGATGGGTGATGATTTCTTTCGATTCTGCACATTTCTTGTCAAGTCGTTCAAATATCACATTATCAGCTCCTTTACACATCAGCTGCATTTTTCCATCTTTTCGCACAATCACCTAAAATGGAGCAATATCATAGAACTAACATTTTCTACAAATGTACATATATTTGAAAAGTATGACATTCATCAGAGAAATATCCCAAGGTCTGTATAGAAATTCTTAGCATGTATTAACAAATGAATATGCTTCTGAGGGTCAGAAAACATTCACTGAAGCCAATAAAGATGTTATACAAATGATAAATTCAGGTATTCTTACATATTTATACTTAAGTACTTATATTTCATACTTACAGACATTCGCTTTCGGACATTATTGAAATCCAGGATACACAGTAAATCATAAACTTCCTCTTTTCCATTGACCTCAATTGTGATTGTGTGAGGTGTACGTGACTGAAAAACAGATATGAAAACTTTTTTTATCAATTTAATTTAAAAATTGAAATTAACTTGTATTTGATTCACTCAGATAGGGTTCTATTGGCTAAGTTTAGACTCCATATTTGTATGAAAAAAAGTGTCCATCTATCACAAATGTGTAGAGTACAAACATTAATTGAATATGTAAATCTTTACATGTACTAAATAACAAGTGTAAGTTTTTTTAAAGTCTGTCTCAGCTGGTAAGTTTCACTGATGGCAACACAAACCTTGAAAACAAAGCCAAAGTTTCTTGCCGCAGACACAAGGGCTCCCTCATCTGGAGATTGGGCCTGATACTCCAACACACCATCTAGTGACAGAGAGTACGATAAACATTGTGACACTTGATTGTTAGAGGTTTGCAGTACCAGAATAACAGTTGTGAGAATTAAAGTATAGTACAGCTACTACAGTACTGAATAATTAACAAGAGGCCCATGGGCCTTGAATCGCTCTTCTGATAAACTGTACAACCTATCACTTCTATTTGAAGCCTCGAAGTATCCTGTATATTTACATAAACCCTTGAAATTCCAATTCACACTCTGAGAACCCAAGATGATTCTAAGCCAATTAGTACCTGAGAGTTGGTCATGGTGACCTACTTATCACTTGTCATTCTCTGAGGACCCATCAACTAAGTTTGATGATTCTAAGCCAATTAATACCTAAAATATTTTTTAAAATTATAATCATAAAATTTTATAAGTAGGTCAAAGTGACCTACTTTTCAATTGTTTTACTCCAAGGACCCAAGATGCATCAACTGACAAAGTTTGATGATTCTAAGCCAATTAGTACCTGTAATATTTAATTAAAGCCATAAATTTTCAAAAGTAGGTCACTGTGACCTACTTTTAAGTCGACCTACTCCGAAGACCCAAGATGCATCAACTGACAAAGTTTGATGATTCTAAGCCAATAAGTACCCAAAATATTTAATTACAGCCATAAATTTTCAAAAGTAGGTCACAGTGACCTACTTTTCAGTCAACCTACTCGGAGGACCAAAGATGCATCAACTGACAAATTTTGACGATTCTAAGCCAAATAATTCCTGAAAATATTAAATACAGCCATAAAATTTCAAAAGTAGGTCACCATGACCTACTTTTCAGTTGTTGTACTCCGAGGACCCAAGACGCATCAACTGACAAAGTTTAATGATTCTAAGCCAATTAGTACCCGAAATATTTGATTAAGGCCATAAATTTTCAAAAGTAGGTCACGGTGACCTACTTTTCAGTTGTTGTACTCCGAGGACCCATGACGCCTAAACTGACAAAGTTTTATGATTCTATGCCAATTAGTACCCGAAATATTTTATTAAAGCCATAAATTTTCCGAAAGTAGGTCACGGTGACCTACTTTTTAGTCAACCTACTCCGAAGACCCATGACGCATCAACTGACAAAGTTTGATGATTCTAAGCCAATTAGTACCCGAAATATTTAATTAAAGCCATAAATTTTCAAAAGTAGGTCACTGTGACCTACTTTTTAGTCGACCTACTCCGAAGACCCAAGATGCATCAACTGACAAAGTTTGATGATTCTAAGCCAATTAGTACCCGAAATATTTAATTAACGCCATAAATTTTCAAAAGTAGGTCACTGTGACCTACTTTTTAGTCGACCTACTCCGAAGACCCAAGATGCATCAACTGACAAAGTTTGATGATTCTAAGCCAATTAGTACCTGAAATATTTAATTATAGTCATATAAATTGAAAAGTAGGTCACGGTGACCTACTTTTCAGTTGACCTTTTTTGAGGACCCAAGATGCATCAACTTACAAAGTTTTATGATCATAGGACTTAAAATGTCCAAATTATGCCTCTAAAACGCTTTGAAATCGAATGCCTGCAAAGTTCAAAAAGTAGGTCACTGTGACCTACTTTTTAATAAATATGTTTTATGGCCCCAAGATGCATCATCTTACAAGATTTAATGATTCTAAGCCTCCCCGTATTCGAATTAATGACCTTAATTGTTTTAAAAAAGATTAGCCATAAAATTCAAAAAGTAGGTCAAGGTGACCTACTTTTTAGTTGACGTACTTTGAGGACCCAAGATGCATCAACTGACAAAGTTTGATGATCATAGGCCTTAAATTGTTCAAAATATGCCTCTAAATCATTTTGAAAAAGAATGGCCGCAAAATTTAAAAAGTAGGTCACCGTGACCTACTTTTGAGTCAACATGATATGAGGTCCTTAGATGCACCAACTGACAAGATTTGATGATCCTAGTCCTTATAGTAAGCAAAATATCAACATTTTAATAAAATGTAATTTTTGGTCAACTTTGAAGTGACCTTGAGACCACGCCCTTTGCCCCAGGGTAAATCCCCGTGCAAATTTTAATCTACAACATATCCTCATCCTTTTGTGTAAGTTTGGTGATAATCTGCCCAGTGGTTCTTGAGAAGAAGATTTTTTAGCAACCAGTACTTTTGTTTCTATTTTCCTAATTATCTCCCCTTGTTTAAGGGTCACAACCCCAGTTTTAGTATAAAAGGGGGCCCTTGGGCCAAGGATACCCTGTGACAAATTTGACAATAATTGGCCAAGGGGTTCTTGAGTTATGGCCCATATTCTAAAAAGTTTATGCACACCGCACAAATGGCCATAGCATTAGCTCTTTGAGCCTTTGGCTCAGAAGAGCTAATAACCATAGTATGTTATGAAAGAAAAGTCTTCTTTATTCTGAAAAGGTGAGATGTTTTACTGGGGGCACTTAACATAGTGAGTCAATACAGTCATTTATATTACCTGTGACTTCTGGCATGACTGTGTGACAAAGGGCAAGGATTCTAAAGAATTCATGAACTAGAGGGTTGTTGGACTGTACAGCATCCAATAAACGCTGATCATAAAACTCAAAATTCTCCTCAGCATATGGGTTGTTTGACAAATCCACTCTAGCAGTTTGCTGTTAAAAGAGACAAAGATGACCATATAGCATCAATACATGAGTTTATGTTGTTTTTGATGAATTTTTAAAAAAAAAATTCAAATGTCCTTAGAGTGTCCTACAGTTCAGAATAATTTCAGCATCTTTTCATTCATTTTCTTTTTTATCTTTGTTTACATTGTCCATTTTATTTAACATGATCAACCTTTGAAATACAAATACCATCAAATCTTACCCATACCCCCAGTACTTAAACTATACATTTAACAATTATCTTAATAGATTTTGAAATCAGAACTAACAATAAACCACGAAGTGCAAAGTCATTTAAATTTCTGTCACATGAAACACACTACAAAATTCATAAACAAAACATGTAAAAATCTAAAGCAATTTCATTCAACAATCAACAGCAACAGTTTTATCATGTCCGCAAGTAGAAAATCAATATGAACTTCTCATGTGGGTATTCCAATGTATAGCTATCATTTACAACAAATTAATTTTGTGAAATATTTAGAAAATATCACTTAGTATTGGCTTTTTATATATATATATATATATATATATATATATATATATATATATATATATATATATATATTTTTATCCCATGTTTACCCCTTTATCCCGTGGATATGACTCATTGGATAAATTTTTCATATTCCACAGTTAAGTGCAGTTGTGACGTCACAATGGTTTTCGCATTAGAGTGATGAAGTAAAATAAAGTGGAGTCCTATATAAAACAGTGTAAAACATTGGATGTGAAGTATTTAACATGGAATAAAAAGAATCTCCCATGATTTGTAGTTGGATATGACTTTTATCCAACTCGTTGTGTGTTTTTATCCCCTCGCCTAGGCTCGGGGATAAAAAACACACAACTCGTTGGATAAAAATCATATCCAACTACAAATCATGGGAGATCCTATATATATATATATATATATATATATATATATATATATATATATATATATATATATATATATATATATATATTAAACTCTAGTCACAGGTACAGACTATCTACAAAAGGCAATTGTTAATATGTATAATGTCTTATTTCAAAAGCAGCAAATTTAACCTATTGTGAATTCTTTTGTCTCAGCAATACCTTTTAAATGTCATTTGCTGTTATGAAAGTTTAAAGTTGAAAAACAGAAATAAATGATCAAAAAAATTACATAATACTGATACTCACTTTGTTAAAATCTCTGATAATTATCTACAGTTTATTTTAAAAATTCTAATTATCTTTTTAAAAATACTTTTTCTCATGACAAGTAAATATCCTCTAGAAACACATAAGTTTATCAGCCACAGCAAATCTAGAGTATGGTGAACCAGACCAAAAAAAAAATTTACACAGGATGGATCAAAATTTATTTTTTTCACTGTTTTTAAAACGTTACCTCAGTTATATCCAAGGGATTTCCATACTCATCCACCACATCTCCATAGGACTTTCCATCAATGGAACACTTATTAAATGTCATAATATTCTGAAGTAAGAAAGAATAGACTCTCCAAATAAAGTTTAAAAAGGACAAAGGTGACCTATTCATTTAGCAAATAAATCTTTCTTTTTGGAGTTTTTTTTAGTTTTTTTAGTTTTTTTTTTTTTTTTTTTTTGCTAGTTTATATCTTTCATGAGTTTTGATATTCATACGTAAATCTTGAAAATGTACAGATAATACCAATAATCTCTTGTCCTTCTCAATTTAAGATTGCAGTAGGCTTTTAAAAATTCATAATTTTATGAAGAACCTGTGTTAATGTTCCTGTTTTGTCTGAGAAGATGTATTCGATCTGACCCAGCTCTTCATTGAGTGTGGTCGTCCGAGCTTTGGCTGGTGTGTTGGTCTTTTCATAATACATTCTGTTGTCCCAGTTAATCAAGAAACTGTTGGCCAGTCTGATCATTTCCACACTGCAAAACAAGGAAAGATGAGCTTTAAGGGATCTGTTCAACTCCAAGATGAATTTGATTGATTCTAAATAAGAACATGGCAACACTGTTCATCAAAGTCATAACTGATTGATGATATACAAACTTATGTATCTTACATAGTCTACTAGTACTTCTGTAGCAAGTTCTACTGAAATCAGACCAAATTTGTAGGAAGAGCGTTTTGAAAGTATTTCACAGAAATTTCTATTTTTAGTAACTATGGCAATACTGTTCATCAAAATCAAACTCCAATATTCAGAATTATGTATTTAGTTAGTAAAGTCTACTTGTGTATCAAGTCTCACTAAAATCAGACCTAAACTATTGGAGGAGTAATGTTTTGAAAAATTGTTTACAGACAGACAGACAGGTCGACAGATGTACAGATGACAGACAGCTTACTAATGCACAAGCTCTTCTACCAGTAGAGCTAAAATTTTATACACACATAGTATTAAGGTACATGTATTTCATTTGCAATCGCTACCAGACACAACTGTTTACCTGACATAGAGAGATATAGGAACCACAGTGTTGAAGATGATAATGTAGGAGAAGAAGACCAGTAGAGAGATGGTGGTAGCTCCCTCTGTCACATTCCCTGGTTTATCTGCTGAGCCAGGGACAAAGGACTCCCAGGGAAGATAAACTGTGAACTTGGTTCCTACCAGGGTTTCCCAAATACCGCATGATACGGTCATCGTCAGGCACATGACAAGAAGCAAAATGAAAATCTAAACAGAAAAAATATTGGAAATTAGAAATTTTATTAAAATAATACACTTTTTTAGGGTAACGTGAAATTGTTATCCTGCCAAAACCATTTCATATGTTACCCTAAATAAACATGTAATATTTCTTTGTTATAATGAATGTATTTAGAATGCATTTAAAAGAAAATTGTTGCTATTTAATGTTACCCGGAGGGCATGGTTTACGCAGGCAGTAGAGTAACAGTATTTTTTAAAACCAATCATATTTGACAATTTAACATGAAAGTATAATAATAGTAAATATAACATTTTCTAAAATAAACATGTATGTCCTCTTGTCCAAGCACTTCCTTTTTAGTCACCAGACTCAATTTATTAAAAGGAACAAATTAAGAAGGTCCTGAGGAAGACTAGTACCTTGCACTAATCGTGTTACCTTCTATTAATAAAGAACATGTATTATTATAATTAGGTATGAGCATGACCAACAGGACATAATTAAGCAACATAAATTGCATTTTTTTCTTAGAAGGTTAACTGCTCATTACAATCATGCAAACAATTCACCTGCCTAATGTCCAAGGATAATGAACATTTTTATATAAATATATACTGAAATTTTTTAATGTCCATTAGGGGAAAAAAGAAAATGATTTTCAAGAAATAAATGTTATTTAATATACCTGTTTGAGAAAGAAATATATCTGTGCAGGAAATTACATGAAGATCTATTCCAAAAAAATAAACTTTGTGCAAAATAAGGAAATATTTATGTGTAGTAAAAATCAAGGAAAAGAAGAATGTAATAAAAAACTGATGTTTGACTACACTCATCAATTTAATAAGAGGCCTATGGGCCACAATGCTCATCTGAGTCACTTTGGATATACTAGGCTCCTATTGTGGCTTCATCCACCCCTGTGAACCAAGATTTGAACAAACTTGAATCTGCAATACATGAGGATGCTTGCATATTGAAATGACTTATTTCATGACTCTGCTGTTCGTAAGAAGATTTTAAAAAGATTTTTTCCTATATGTTCTTATTTAAAACCTTCATGTCCTATTGTAGCCCCACCCTACCCCCATGAGCCATGATTTGAACAAATGTGAATCTGCACTACACCCGAATGCTTGCACAAAATCATGACCCAGCTGATTTTGAGAAGATGATTTGTTAAGATTTTTCCCCTTGTATTCCATTGTTAAAACTTTGAAATAGTACTGTGACTTGAACCCTATGAAACTTTGTACTGTGACTCAAACCCTACCCACAGGGGCCAAAATTTTAACATTCTTGAAACTGCGTTACCTGAGGATGCTTGCATATTAATATGAGTAATCATGGCCCTGCAGTTATCAAGGAGATGTTTGTTTTTTTTTCTGATGAATTCCCATTTTAAATTTTGAACCTGTATTGTGGCCACCATAAGCCCAGGGGTCATGATTTGATCAAACTAAATCTGCACAACCTGATAATACATGTACTTGTATTAATATTACTAAGCATGGCCCATCTTTTGAGAACATTATTTGAAGATTTTTTTCACATTATGACATACATATTTACAACTAGATATCATTGAGATGGTGGCCATCTCAAAGGGCCCCGCTTTCAGCAACAAACATGAAAATGTAAGGTAGTTGAAAGGGTTTATTTTGAAGAGGAACATTTGTGTACTATTAAGGGATGTGTTGTTTGAGTCTAAAGGGCTTCTATGTCATCCTTGTTATAATAAAAAATGGCACAAAAATCACGAGTGCTCCATCCCCTCTATCAAAAATACGGCACAAAAATCACGAATGTTGCATATCCTCTATGAAAATTGATGCATATCCTCTATCAAAATATGGAAGGAAGATCACAAATGTTCCATACCCTAAGTCAATTGGTAAAGTTTGAGGCTGACTGGACTTAAGGGAAAGAAATTATGCACCGAACAAAGATTTTAAACAGAGAGGCTATTTTTGACCTTGACCCTTGACCTAGAAACTTCATTCAAGGTCACTGCACATCCATTGACCAGTGGCACTCTGTAAGTGAAGTATGAGCCACATTCGACCAAGGGGAGAGAGGATATGCTCTGAACAAGGATTTTTTATATAATTCTGCAATGACCTTAACCTAAGACCTAGAAACATGGTTCAAGGTCACTGCACACCCTTTACCCAAAGGCACTCTATGGGTGAAGTATGAGCCAGATTGGGCCAAGGAGAGAGAAAATATGCTCCGGACAAGAATTTAAACAGAGAGACTATTTTTGACCTTGACCTAGAAACTTTGTTCAAGGTCACTGCACATCCATTGACCAGTGGCACTCTGTGAGTGAAGTATGAGCCACATTGGACCAACAGGAGAGAAGATATGCTCCGGACAAGGATTTTTCATATAATTCTGCTATGATCTTAACCTTGGACCTGGAAATATGGTTCAAGGTCACTGCACACCCTTTACCCAAGGACACTCTGTGGGTGAAGTATGAGCCAGATTGGGCCAAGGAGAGAGAAGATATGCTCCAGACAAGAGATCTCGGACAGACAGACGGACGGACGGACTGATCACTATAGGGCGCCCACAGAGCGGGGCCCTAATTATTTTTTTCCCTATGGTACCTCAATTTCAGGATCAGGATTTGAACAGTTTAGAATTTACACTATGTCAGAAAGCTATCACTTAAGTTACAACTTTTCTGATCCAGTGTTTGCACCACAAAATTAAAAGTAATGTCTAAAACTTTCATTACCCTATAACCTACCAGTAGCATTTGAAATGATCTTGTTTCAGGGTCATGTCTTACTCTAGGTCAATAAGTGTGAAGTACTTGGTATGCTGGCCCTGCACTGATTATGAGATGATTTCTTACAGGAAAGTTTTAAAGAATCTGACTTACCCCAATGATGATAAGATTCATGAGTCGGTCTATATGTGTTCTTTTGAAGACTGTTCTGCCACTATTCATCATGAGTTTGGTATCCTTCCCTGCAAATATAACCAGTCCAAAGCACCACTGGGTATTCCTCAGAACACAGCCTCTCAACAAAATTTTCTCATTATCCAAAGAGTACTTTTGCCCTCGCCAAGTCATGGTGCCTTCAAATTTACTCAAGTTGTTGTTCGGAGCCTCACATTTTATTTCGGCTGAAAAATAGTTTTTATATGCAGTATACAGTTAAACATTGAGTTTTCAGCAGAGACACTGTATAAAAGGTCACTGCTTCTTTATTTTTATTGAGAGAATAATGCACGTATTCACCTAACAGTACACATATATTAACATGTGCATATCAAATAGCCCCCCCCCCCCCAAAAAAAAAGCTTATAAGCATGCTCTCAGTTTTGAAAATAAATGTCATTTAAACTTCAAACCATAACTATATTTAATAAATACACTGTATTTGGTGTCTCTATTTATTTCAAAGACAGTACTTATAAACTGGTCTTCAAAATGTGAAAGATGAAAAGATGTGAAGAAATTATGTCCAGTTTGTTTTGTAATGTACATATTTACAAAGGAGTATTAAATTAAAATTTTTTTTTGCAAAAACGAAAACCACATAACCAAACAATTTTAACAACATGAAAGTTGAAGTAATGCTGAATCAATTATTTTTTTAAGACAGGCATTTTTAAAGTTTGAACTTCAGCAGCAGTTTTAAATTTTAACAGCATTTTTTGTGTGTTTGAAAAAGCTGCAATGTTTTAAGTCAACATCCTAATTTTATCTCTGAAGTCCTGTATGGCATATATTTTGACATCATTTGAAAAAGTCTATTTCCTAGAAAGATGGTTTTCATATGAATACTTCTTTTTTCAAAATCTTATGCACTAGTATTTGTGATTTTGGATATTTTCTGTTTGTGTTAATTATTTCAAAACATTCATAGAACTATTTTTTGGAGAAAAAACCCTGATAACCTGCTTTTTGAAGATGTAATCAAAACTTCAATGGAAAAAATATAACTAAGTTTTTTTTTATATTTTTTATATCACAATTATATTGCCGGAAAATGTGCTATAAAATACAGTTATAATTTTGTAAAAATTTTATTATTGTGCAAAAATATAGAGATCAAAAGTCAGGACATGTATGTTGATGAAACATCCTGTATATATATAAATACATGTAGACAGTCAGTATCATTTTGCTCTGTTGCTGAACTAAGCACACAAAAAAGCAACTATAAATAATTTTCAAAAATAGAAAACTTTTGAGAAAACTTTGTTTTTCTTAAAAAGATTATATAATAGTGTCAAAAGTGTATGATTACTTTGAGAGTAAAAGTAGACTTCACAAAATTTCTTCTATATAAAGCACAAATCTTATAGCAGTGATGCAATGTACTTGACCTTTGGTCTTGATGTATAACTTGATCTCTGCCAAATATGAAGACTCTACTTAAATTTGTGACAGACCAAAGACAGTATCCTCCTAGATCTTATAATCAGGAAACAAGATTCAAGGAATTTGCAAGAAAGGCTTTCAAATCTAAATTTAATATTCATTTTGTGTTGAATTTTTGGAAGTGCTGCATTTATCAAATAAGGAAAGCTTATCAGGAAATAGATCATTTTCACAAAACACTGAACAGGAATTACATGTATACATAGATACATGTATCACATCACATAATCCTTATATATCAGCAGCAAATAATTTTCAATAAAAGGTAAGTTTTAATTGTTAATTTTTCGTCCTTGCCATATAAAGATGATTTTCAGCATCTTCTATACTTATTATTTAGCTCGAGTGTGATATTGTAGCATCTAAATATATTCTTTAAAAAAAAAAATAAGCAAACTTTAATTTCCTGATTTTCATAGAAATGGTTATCTGATAATTTGCAGTTTCACTTTAACAAGAATTCAGCTTTCCAATCAAAACTCAATTACAGGTCCACTGTTAGAATGGACCCTCACATTGCAGCCCAGGATGTGACTCGTTGTGAAGTTTGTGAGACTGCTGTAGTGCAGGTGTACTGCCAATCTTGTGAAGCCAGTTTGTGCAAGGCCTGTATTGGGAATCATGTGTCATTAAACTCCAGAATTGAACATCAAATATTAGGTCTCGATTTGCACAAGTCCTCCTTGATACTCACAAAATGCATTGACCATTCCAGCCAATATTGTCACTTTTTCTGCAAGGAATGTGATCTTCCTGTTTGTTCTAATTGCATTTCTTCTGAAAAGCACTGCAGACATTTGTTCTTGCAAATGTCTCAAGTTTTTGGATCCAGACAGAAAGCAATAGAAAAAGATACAGAAGCCTTACAAGATGTTATTTTCCCAAAATATGAAAATTTAGTGAGTAATATTGAGAGTGAATTGGAAAATCTTGAAAGTGAATACAAAAAAATCACTACAATGATATCTGAGCATAGAGATGAAGTGCACAGAATGGTTGACCTCACTGTAAGCCGACTCCAAGCTAAGATTGATGAAATCCGTAAAGATCAGGTCTATGCCTTGAGAAAACAATTATCACTGATAAAGAATAAAATTGTAGCCATTGGGGAAGCAATAGATGAAAACAATGGGACATTGTGTTCAAATGAAGTTATCAGAACACTGGATTGTCAAACTAAATTTCTAAATTTTAGAAAACTTCCCCCAAAATTGCAAGTGAAAAGTCCTGTTTTTACTGCTGGTTCAATCAAGGAGGAAGAAATAGTCCAAATTTTTGGATCTCTGGAAGTTTTTCCCATTACAACACAGAGGGAGGGTGACACTCTAAATCTTCCTGGGTATTTATCATCAACTCAGCTTCTTGATGAACCAGAGCTTGTAGCCAGTTTCTCTTCTGGTTTTCAGAAACTTTGCAATGTTGCCTGCATGAATTCAGGGCACATTTGGAGCAGTGGTAAAGTAAGCACAATTAAACAGTTTGACCAGAATGGATCCTGCTTGAAAAATATCATGACCACCTCTGGAATGTGGCCTGCTGATATAGCAAGCAAGCAGTCCGGGGAGCTTTTGTACTCTGATTCTGTAGCAAAAACAATAAATGTGGTGAAAAGGGGACCAGTGAAAAAAATGGTGAAATTCAAATCCTGGAAGCCTGGAAACATATGTGTCTGCCTCTCTGGTGATCTTCTGGTAACTATGTGTAATGATGAAGAAACACAGGTGAAAGTAGTTCGGTACTATGAGTCCTATGAGATCCAAACCATTCAGTTTGATGAAGAGGGTAAACCATTCTATTCAGGGAATTCAAAAATAAAATACATAAGTGAAAACAAGAACTTAGATATCTGTGTGGCTGACAGTGAAGCTAGTGCAGTTGTTGTAGTCAACAAAGCTGGGAGCCTCCAATTTAGATACACTGGTCATCCCTGTGCTACGAAAGAAAACCCATTTAAACCTTATGGAATCACAACAGACAGTCAGAGCCAGATTCTTACATCAGACAGTGATAATCACTGCATTCATATCATAGACCAGACAGGGCTATTCCTCAGTTACATAGACAACTGTAACTTGAAGAATCCACATGGATTAAGTGTGGATGACAAACATCATCTGTGTGTGGCCGAGTACAACAGTGGAAAGATCAAACTCATCAAGTACATGTATGTCCCCTAAATCTATGTTTTTACTACAGAACATTGACAATAATGCCCTCTATTATAAAATTTTGCCTACATTCTATATAAGCAAGCTTTCCATTTTCCCCCATTTATATACAGTGAAACAAGCTGTAAAAGGTGATGTACAGTAACTGATCTACTTCAAGGAGAGTTCTGTTGATAGATTAAATTACCATCAAATCTAGAAAGCTGTGATATGTCATCTCCAAGTTCTGCAGTCTCCGGAATAGCCTGTCTCACCTTCAAATTAGTCTCCCTGTAATTACAGTGAAAAAGGAGTAAACTTACATACAGAAATGACACTCCAAATGGAATAAACATACATAAAGGTATACATATCAAATAAAAATCTTACATCATATAACAGTGATCAAAATATATCTAAGACAACATGCATATGATGTTTTTCAGTTTAAATGTACAAGTTAATTTAGTAGCAGTAATACATTAGAGATGATTTCTGCAGTAACCTACCCATCAAGTTCTGCTGTCTCTATGTAACACAAACTGTGAGGTTCACTTGTAGACAGAAGCAAGAGATCAGCCTAAAAATACCACCACAAAAAATTAACTGAAGAGAGAGACAACCCAGTTCATGTAGCATATTAAATCCATATTTTAATTAATTTCATGATATTGGAGTTGGTATAAGAAATGATTTTATGCTATGACTTTTGTAACAATTAAAGGACTGACTCCTCTCCCAGTCCATTACTGCATACTGTAGGTCATTTAATTTTCGCAACACCTTATTTTTGTGAGATTGCTAGGTAATTGGAATTTATAAGCAAGCAAGACAAAATTTTCATGACTTCTGGTAAAAAAAGTATGCGAGAATGAAATTTTCATGAGCAAACTGCTTTACATAATTATGTGCAGATAAAGTTCTCTTGAATAAAAAGAGATTTATTAAGCACAGTATGTGCTAGTTAAAAATCTAAATAATTCCACCCCCCCCCCCCCCCACCCACCCACCAATGGATTTTCTGAATTCATGCAGAAGTATTACCTAACAATGACAAACATCCCATTTAGTAGAATTAAATTAAGCAATGAATTGTAAATTTTTTACATTCATCATGTCATAACAAGGACAGCTGAGCTGACAAATTGAGTAACAAACTTTATTGAATTCTAAAAAAAATATCTGCAAAGCTCTCCATATTTTGACATGATGATGAGTCTAAATTGTACTATTCAATACTTACATTTATTCAATACTTATATTTACATTTATCAATTTCATGGTAAATTGATAAAATATCACTTCTTCGACTAAATTATGGTTGTTTAAAGCAATATGAGCTGCATTTTTGAGGATTTTATTTTACTGTCAAAATGTGCTGTTATAATAAACCTGTATGTAACCTCTTTATGATCAATTATACTTAAAGTATTTGTTTCAGAAGAAAGATTTCTGTACAATGGTATATCTAAGTATTATAAAAGTTTACAAAGTAACGTTCTTTTAACTGTCATTGAAAAAGTTCTTTACAATATTGCAACAAAAATTTCCAATGTCCAAGTTGCAGCTCATATTGCTTTAAATAATACACATCATACTTGACATAGCTAAATTGATTGAGCAACCATTACTATTCAGTGACTCAGTTTGAATTTTGATTTTTCGCATATGTTTGTATTCAACATGTGACGTCACAATAAAATTAATACTTTAACCTTTTGATCTTCCCATCTGTGTTATAAAATTATAAATGCCAAAGCTTTCAACACAATTTAATATAAAGTAAAATATGCACTGAATAAATATTGTGCATTAAAAACTTGATTATGCTATCATTTACTTTTCATATCTAGGGATTAAATTGACTTAAGTTTGAAGACCTTTATTTATGCACATATTTATCAGTCAATAGGTACTTGCACACAATATTTATCAATACTTTTTAATTAGTTATGGTAGAAAGGATTATAAACTTTACTGTAAAATACTTTCTGCTTCAAAGCAAGGTTAAAAACAAGCTGTATATTTGAGGAAAGAACAGAGAAGATTGAAAACAGGGAAATCTCCTCTTAGCTATATATCTATAAATAATCCCTTGTCTAAATTGGTATGAGAAATGAATATTTTAAGATCTGAATTTATTTTGAGCAAATATTCACACCAAGGCACAATTTCTATCAAAGCGACAATTTAAAACAGAAATTCATTCAATAATGGCACCATCCATTTAAATCCTAATTTTACACTCACTAAGCAGCTAAATCTATAAAATGTCTAAACATGGATCACAATTAGTGTCTGAGACCTTCATTTATGATATAAAATATCAATACATCCTTTAACATTGCTAACTGGGGCTCTAACTACACAGAAAAATGTACTTCACAGGTTCAATGGATCAGTCTGGTGTATTTTTTGTTTTTTGTTTTTCAAATCATGGGTTTTTGGCTGATTTTTGATTTCCAATATCCGATTTAAACCTTGATGTGTACTGTGTAGCAGATTTCTGACATCTGATTTAAACCTGGGTGCCCTACTCACCTGCATAATGTTCCATGGACAACATTATAAAAATGTTTGTGGATTCAAAGAGCAATGGTTTCAATCAAACTTGACCAGTTACATACATGAAAAATGTGACATCACCCCATATTAACTAACATGCATCTATTTCGTTAATACTATTTGGGTCATGAAAGCAGATAATAACAGTTCAAGAAATTCAATCTTCACCAAACTTAGCAACCCATCATATATAAGTTAATAATTACATATCCAAATATTTTTCCTTAAGATTCTTTGCAAATTAGAAAAAGTTCATGTTCTCATGAACTACTGTGGGATGAGTAAGAATATTTCAATTGTGATGTGATTGAAGTAAAAAAAAAAATTAGTGCAAACTTTTTTTTCAAAAATATGTGGCAAGTCATCAGAAAAATAATGTAAATATAAGATATGAATTTAATTTTTGAGAATTCATGAGGTACATGAACTACAACGCTTCATGCCTGCATTTTTATCCTGAAGTGCTAACACGCTTCATAATATATGCAGGCGTGAAGCGTCGTAGTTCATGCCCTCAAGAATTTTCAAAAATTAAATTCATCTCTTAATTAAGGATGTTATAACTGAAAACCAATTCCTCTTCGTTTTGGCCCTCTCCCACTGTATTACTGCATAAGTGCATTCAAGGACATCATGTGTGTTTTAGAGTTTTCACTTACAGCAACAAATTGATTGGTCTCCATTTTGATGATGTCACCAACAACAACTTTATGCCATCGTTCTTCCATCAGTTTGCCATCCCGTAAAACCCAGGATTTTCTGTTGTTTACCAGAGCATCATTTCTGTGTCTTTGCTATTGTTATAAAAATATATATTAAAAAAAACACTTTATTTTACATCATCTCCTTTGTAATAGTAAGCATGTTTTTCTACATAACAAATCTGGGAGAAAATCAATGTTTAAATAGTTGCTATGAAACAGAATCAAATTTTCAGTGTTATTCTCATGGCTTAACATGTCATCCAAGAGGATTACATCACAATTTATCTTTCAGCATCTTTATTTGCCTTATTTGCACAAAAAAAATAAATTCTATCATCTCTACTTTGTTTCAATAATGTTGCTAGGCAACATGATCTCTCATCCAATTTTAGAAAACCTGAGTACATGCATTTCCAATTCTGTCTAACACAGAATTTTTTCACCCCCCCCCCACCCCCCCCCAAATCAATGATACAATGTTACCCAAAATTTCCTTCCAAAAAAAATATAGTTTAAGAAAATAAAAATATATATTTTACCAAAAAAACCCCCCCCACATATTATATATAGAAGCTTTTCATAAAATCCACAGTTTCATATCTACTGTGAATCAATATTACCCCTAATCTTGTGAAATCAAATGTTTCCCTGATTTCCTGTACATTTTTCACCCAATTATCTTATTTTAAAGAAAATAATACACCTGTAGGACAACTGATTTTCCTTCCTAAAAATTGATACATGGCAATTCAAGTTCATAGTTCAGAGTTACCCCCTTACTGCTCTCAAGTGTGCATGCAAAGATAAAGTATGCATACAAATATATTGCTAAGAAAATAGTGAATAATTGTACTGAATGTGCAAGCATAATTATAGTATTTGTTATATGCATAAGAATCACTTATCAAAATTCAATTAGATTAAGTATTGCATATTACTATCATTAACCAGTCAATTACATGAAGGAAGTAACAAAATTATCATACTGATTATAAATTTAGGAGAAATAAATATATAAATAATACAACTACCCAATATATCTATTTGAGTTGATGAAACACAGCTCTACCAACATTCACAAATAATGTTGATTAATTTTAGGTAAGAGAAGAAAGAAAAGGCATAAACAGACAGCAATGCAATTTTATCAAATGTTAGACTACTACAAAAATCTTACCACCAAAGTTATTCAAATAAAGGTAGGAAAATTAACCTGTTGATATGGAAAACTCATGCTTTTTGGTATATTTGTCAGAGTGTAAGGGACAAACTGCAATGCATGTACCAGTGTTTTAAGTTAGTAAGAAAAAGAAAACGATTTATCAGGAGAAAAAAATGTTAAAATGTAGGTCTTAATGTGACTAGGGGTAAAAGAAATGATTATTACATACTTGTTTTCATCAAGCAGCTTGCTAAAATATTAGTTTTCTTTTCAAAATAAAAAGGCCATGTTTTATCTGGTATGTTGACATAATTTCTATCTGAAAACTTTTGGCTATACTTAACCAACAGTTAATAAACTAACTCAGTGAATCTGTGTTTCCTGCTTTAATAAGGACAAAATAAATCAATAGAAATCGGTTTTAAATTTTAGTTGTAGATGAGTATTGAAGTAAATACAGAAGCCATTTTATACCATATATGAATTTGTGACCTAAACTTTTCACCTTTTGGCCTCTAAATTGTTTCTTAAGTAAGGGAGAGTCAACCGTCTTTACTTTTCACTGCAAACCTCAAAAAGAACTAAAGTTAGCACTGGAAACCAATTAATACATGTGTAAAATATCTGATCCTGACCTTGACCTCATAGTAAATAGGGGTGTTCGAGTGAATATAAGGAAGTTGATATAAAATTTCATCACAAAAACTAAAAACACTTTCAGAGATATCATCAGGAAATTATTTCATACTTTTATTTCAATAACGATATCTTTTTAAGTTTTTGAGAGTCATCATCTTCCGTTTTAGTGCAAAAGCTTAAAGACAACTTAAGTTAACAATTACATTGTATTTAATACACACGATCCAAAAGTAATTATGTTTAATCTTTAATAATCAAAACTTATCAAAAAAAAATTTTTATATATAATTACCTGTATCTATTTTGTCTTTTTCCTCATTAAGATATGTGCAATACTTTCTAAAACATTAAACAAGAGGCCCATATGGGCAACATCGTTCACCTGAGCACTTTGGCTAGGAAAAAGCAGAAATCGGTTCAGTTTTGAAACTTTAAATACACAAGTGGTCCCAACCTATTTACTATTAATGGGGGGAGGCATAATTTGAACAAACTCAAATTTACAATAACTGAGGATACTTCAATATTTCTTTGACTATTAATGGCTTTAAAAGATTTAAAGAAAATATTCCTGTATAAGTATTATCTTCTATTGCCCCCCCCCCCCCCCTTTTCGGGGTTATTGATTGATTTGAACAATCTGGAACCTACATTATCTGAAGATGCTTCTGTATTAATATGACTAATCATGGCTTTGCTGTTCTTAAGAATAGGATTTTTAATGATCTTTCCTATATATTCTGATGTAAAAATCTGATCCCCCATTGCAACCTCTCCCTACCTCCAGGGATCCAGATTTGAACAATCTTGAATCTGCACTACCTGGCAATAATTCAGTATTAATATGACCAATCATGGCTTTGCTGTTCTTGAAAAAAAAAAAATTATAAAGATTTTCCTGTGTATTCCTTGTTTAAACTTTGTTCGTCCATTATGGCCCCTCCCTACCTCCAGGGATCCAGATTTGAACAAACTTATCTGCACTACCTGATGATGCTTCAATATTAATATGACCAATCAATGCTTTGCTGTTCTTGAGAAAAAGATTTTAAAAGATTTTCCTAGTATGTATTCCTAGTTAAAACTTTGATTGTCCATTGTTGCCCCAACCTAACCCCAGGGGTGATGACTTTAAAAATTTGAATTTACACTACCTGAGAATGCTCCCATATAAATATGACCAATCATAGCTTTGCTGTTCTTAAGAAGAAGATTTTTAAAGATTTTTCCTATGTATTATTATGTGTAACTGATCATCCATTGTGGTCTCACAATAACCCCCCCGAGGTCATGATTTGAACAGATTTGAATCTACACTACCTGAGAATGCTTCCATATAAATATGACTAATCATGGCTTTGCTGTTCTTGAGAAAAAGATTTTTAAAGATTTTCCTACATATTACTTTATAAAACTTTGATTGCCCATTGCCTTCGGCTCAGGTGAGCTAACAAATAAACCATTATGTCTCATCTATCGCCACACGGCAAGACTATACCAACATCATTATGATGTTTCTCTTTGGCACTCATTTTCAGTTCATCCAGAAATCTTTTAAATTTTTCAGCTACCGGTATATATATTTCACTTCATGAATTTTAAGGTCTTCCGACACGTTCCTCAAATATCTGTTTTCTATCTCTAAGTAATATACAACAAATTAATCATAATTATCATTATCTTGGGATTTCTACAGTGTTTTCAAAATGTATCAAAATTAAATACTCGAAAAATTGCGATATTGGCAATGGTAATGATTTCCATTAGTATACCTGGTAATATGCGAAATACCATCCTCTTGTCTCTTGCAAAAATGTCTGGTAAGGCCAAACAAAAAAATATGTGTGGTTCCGGTTACACTTCCAAAAAAATTAGGGTAGGTAGGTAGGGATTTTTTTTTTTTTTTTTTTTTTTTTTTTTTTTTTTTTAACAAAATGATTTTCTTAATTTTTCTAAATAATACCTATCACTGCTTTGCAAATGGCATTTAGATGTGATGTTATAATATACTAGTCAATATTGGTAGGGGACACCTACATGCTAGCTTGCTTTGGACTTAATACTATTAAACACTTGCACTATGTTTTGCAAGGAGGCCGTCATTGCTGAAACTAAAACTTAAACCAGAGCCATTGATGGAAATCGGGGAAAATTCCGGAAAAAATATGAAAATTGCCCAAAAAAAGTTTAGGGTCGGGGGTATAAAATAGGGAAGGTCGGATAACTGGAACGACACATATTTTTTTATTTGGCCTAATGTACCTCAATTTTTTTGTGTGAAAACTTGTTAAAGTAGCAGTACTTCATTGACAAATTCTTGGGAAAAATTATATATTATTGAGGAATATGTCGTCTGACCTTAAGGCAAAAATCAAAATAGACTGGGGTATTAGTATCTACATAGTATTAGTATCAAAAGTTTGTTGATAATATTCGATTATTTCAGATTTTATAGCAGTTGTGATATTACTTTTGGATCAACCCTTGTATTATTAATCTTTTACCTTAGGAGTAATGATATAAAATGTGATATCACTTTTGGATCAACCCTTGTATTATTAATCTTTTACCTTAGGAGTAATGATATAAAATGTGATATCACTTTTGGATCAACCCTTGTATTATTAATCTTTTACCTTAGGAGTAATGATATAAAATGTGATATCACTTTTGGATCAACCCTTGTATTATTAATCTTTTACCTTAGGAGTAATGATATAAAATGTGATATCACTTTTGGATCAACCCTTGTATTATTAATCTTTTACCTTAGGAGTAATGATACAAAATGTGATATTACTTTTGAATCAACCCTCGTATTATTAATCTTTTACCTTAGGAGTAATGATATAAAATGTGATATCACTTTTTGATCAACCCTCGTATTATTAATCTTTTACCTTATGAGTAATGATATAAAATGTTGTATCACTTTTGGATCAACCCTTGTATTATTAATCTTTTACCTTAGGAGTAATGATATAAAATGTGATATCACTTTTGGATCAACCCTTGTATTATTAATCTTTTACCTTAGGAGTAATGATATAAAATGTGATATCACTTTTGGATCAACCCTTGTATTATTAATCTTTTACCTTAGGAGTAATGATATAAAATGTGATATCACTTTTGGATCAACCCTTGTATTATTAATCTTACCTTAGGAGTAATGATATAAAATGTGATATCACTTTTGGACCAACCCTTGTATTATTAATCTTTTACCTTAGGAGTAATGATATAAAATGTGATATTACTTTTGGATCAACCCTCGTATTATTAATCTTTTACCTTAGGAGTAATGATATAAAATGTGATATCACTTTTGGATCAACCCTTGTATTATTAATCTTTTACCTTAGGAGTAATGATATAAAATGTGATATCACTTTTGGATCAACCCTTGTATTATTAATCTTTTACCTTAGGAGTAATGATATAAAATGTGATATTACTTTTGGATCAACCCTTGTATTATTAATCTTTTACCTTAGGAGTAATGATATAAAATGTGATATCACTTTTGGATCAACCCTTGTATTATTAATCTTTTACCTTAGGAGTAATGATATAAAATGTGATATCACTTTTGGATCAACCCTTGTATTATTAATCTTTTACCTTAGGAGTAATGATATAAAATGTGATATCACTTTTGGATCAACCCTCGTATTATTAATCTTTTACCTTAGGAGTAATGATATAAAATGTGATAATACTTTTGGATCAACCCTTGTATTATTAATCTTTTACCTTAGGAGTAATGATATAAAATGTGATATCACTTTTGGATCAACCCTTGTATTATTAATCTTTTACCTTAGGAGTAATGATATAAAATGTGATATCACTTTTGGATCAACCCTTGTATTATTAATCTTTTACCTTAGCCTTTTGACCTAAAAATCAATAGGGATCTAATTTAAGTCATTAGGAGTAATGATATAAAATTTCATTTCAATGGGACTTTCAGATACCACCTCAGGAAACTAAAGTGATATAGACAGAATGAGGGATGGACAGACCCAAATTAATATTCCCTGCTTTTAAGGAAAGCCAGGCACAAAAAAGTGACAATATTCCATCCCCCAAAAATGGACCCATTAAACTAGTGGCAAATACTACAATCCCCTGGAAAATAAGAAACCAAAATAAAAAAAAAACATAAAACCATTGTCAAAAATCTCAATGCTTTAGAATTCAGAAAATCTTCAAAACTGATAAAGTCATTAAAGGTCCTTCAGTGACCCAGTGACCAGATATCTTTTGTCAATGAGTTATTGCAAGCATTTAGGTTAAAAGTGTTGACAGACATCAATATCTTATCTCTTCTTCTTGACCTTAGATATAAACAGTCTGTGCAGTGAATATAAAACCATATGGTTTAAGGGGATCTTATTATCATTAGCAAAAATTTGTTGACAGAATTTTTCATTGTCATGACCTTTAACCTTGTTCTTTCTCTGCTTAATATTCTCTATAAGAAGTCATTAGGATTTAAAAAAAAAACACTTGAGTGCTACTGCATCACTTGAAAATTTTGACAGATACATAAAAAAAATCTTGACCTTTTTCATTTATGATCCCCAATTCTCGAGTCTTCTGTAAACTATTCTCTACCTGTGTCGCATTTATGAAGTTATTTAGTTCTCAGTTTCACATGAAAGTTGGATAGATGGCAAAACAGCAAACAAGTTTATTACTATATAGGGCACTAGCATATTGATACAGAGTCCTATCTTAATCTAGCAGCATAAAGTAAACAAATTATCTATATAATCAACCCAGCATTAAAACCAGAAGCAAAAACCCCATTCCCTTCTACTTGACATTTGCAATTTTTTTTGGCTTAAAAAACCTGAAGGCTCTGATAGGACTGTTGCTCTTTGACTAAAAAATTTGGGGAAATGGTAGACTATGCACATGGATTTTGATTTTCAATTTGAGAAGTTGCTCTGACATCTCCTATAAATGTGAGTGAGGATTATTTTGAAATAATACATAATTTTGGATGTGTTCCTAGCAACAGCTTGCTCATTATTTCAGGAAATTGACAATGAATATAATTTATCTACAAATATTTACATTTGTTCCAAGTTTGATTTAATTATGACTAAAGGAGAAATACTATTTTAAAAATTTTCTTAAGAAGTTGGATGCACATACAGCAAGGATAAGGTTACTTAAAAAAAAAAAAAAAATTAAACTTAACCAATGAATGCATAAATTTTCCTGTCTTCAAACATCAAAAGTAAAACCACTTAAAAATTCAATGAAATACTTTCAAAAAATAAAAAGTCAATGAATGTACAGAAAAGAAAATTATTTTACCAAGAAATATTTTAGAAATTTAAATCAGTTTCACATAAAATAATGAAAATCTAAATGTAAAATATTGTCTGTACTTATTCTCTTTTGATAAAAATAAATAAATAGAAATAAGTAACAAGAAATAAAGTAGAAACTGGAAATTGTCTAAAACTTAAAATCAAATCAGCAGGATTTGAAGAAAAATGGAAACTCACAAAATCATCAATGGCATCTTTGACAGCTGACACGCCTAATACTACCACCAAAGGGATCACAGTGGTGAGCGGTGTCAGGGATGATATTGCTGGAATTAGCTAAAGGGAAGCAAGTTTAATAATCTATAATTAGTTATTGTGAAAGCAATATTGTTTTCCCCATCCAAAACTTTCTCCAAATTGGTTTTTTTGGGTCTGGTTGAAGCTTGGATTGTCTGCATCTGAAAGGTTTTGCTGAAAAATAATATAGCAAAGGAAAGCTGGGTTTTAAAATGTGTGAGAGTGTGAATTTTAGAAGAGAAAGAACATAGGACCAAGCCAAGGTTATTTTGCATACTACCATAAAAGTTCATACAAACTAAAACAGAACTATATGAACATGCAGAAAGAATAAATGTGGATACTGTTTTCTTCACAAATTGTACAGTTATTAAGTTGAGACTTCTACTTTGCAGCTCTCTGTATCATAACTAAAGTTTCATAGTTTATATATGACTAATCAAATGATATCAGATAGATACCAAGCATTTTACAAAAATAAATCATCTTCATTTCCTTCTACATGGACTGCAAAAATTTTGATTAATTTGTGAACTTAGCATGGTTGATAATAATTTAAGATAAAGAAATTGGTCATCTAAAATTTTGTTATGATGATTTAATTCTGAATGCAACCACACCTTTTGAAAATCAACAACACTTTTTGACAGTATTAAGCCTTGATGATGTTGAAATCTTTTTTTCTTTGCAGAACAAGCTGAATCTTGTAATAAGTGTACAATTTGGTCCAATAATTATATATGTAAGAGGGTTTAAAAAGCAGTTGAGGTATAAACTACTTGTTTACTAAACAAGCACCCAGGCAAAAAAGTCACACAATACCAAGGTTAAAGGTCATTCACTATGGTGTGCAAACTTACAACATCATCAACAAGGTCTTTAATGGCAGAAATCCCTAATACAAAGGCCAGGGGCAGCAAAGTGGTATACCAGGGCAAAGAACTAATTGCCGGTATCACCTGTAATGAGATTTGTCATGTGTTAGTGCAGATATCTACATGCTCCAAAATAAAGGAAAATGACAAAAAGCCAAGGGTTAAGGACTTCAATCCGTAATGATGGTTGTGAAATAGCAGCTTCTCTGAAAGAAACTGGCAAAAAAGGAGTCTGTTGATTATATAAATACTGAAAAAAAAAATTTATATCAAGACAGATCCAAAATAAATTCAAGATAGATATGTGTTTATACAGTGCATTAACTGCAGAAAACATGTCAAATTCATATCATGACATATCATTCTAATACAAAGAAAAACCATGACATATCATTCTGTTAAAAAGAAAATCCAAGGGATATCATTCTGATAAAAAAGAAAATCCATGACATATCATTCTGATAGAAAAAAAAAACTTTGTCAATCAAAATTCAAAAAAAAAGAAGAAATTTTGTAATTAAAGTACATATATATTATGGTAGATATCTAACTACAAGAGGCCCAAGGGCCACATCGCTCACCTGAGTAACTTTGGCCATGCTGTTCATTACCAGACTTCCCCCCTTGTAATACCTATTGTGGCCCCGCCCTACCCCCGGGGTCATGATTTTAACAATTTAGAATCTACACTACCCCAGGATGCTTCCACATAAGTTTCAGTTTTTCTGGTCCAGTGGTTCTTGAGAAGATTTTTAAAGATTTTTCCTATATATTTCAATGTTTCCCTATTGTTGCCCCGCCCTACCCCCGGGGTCATGATTTGAACAATTTAGAATCTACACTATCCCAGGATGCTTCCACATAAGTTTCAGCTTTTTTGGCTCAGTGGTTCTTGAGAAGAAGATTTTTAAAGATTCTTCCTATATATTTCAATGTAAAACTTGTATTCCCTATTGTGGCCCCGCCCTATCCCCGGGGGTCACGATTTGAACAATTTAGAATCTACACTATCCCAGGATGCTTCCACATAAGTTTCAGCTTTTCTGGCTCAGTGGTTCTTGAGAAGAAGATTTTTAAAGATTTTTCCTATATATTTCAATGTAAAAATTGGATTCCCTATTGTGTCCCCGCCCTACCCCCGGGGTCATGATTTGAACAATTTAGAATCTACACTACCCCAGGATGCTTCCACATAAGTTTCGGCTTTTCTGGCTCTGTGGTTCTTGAGAAGAAGATTTTTAAAGATTTTTCCTATATATTTCAATGTAAAACTTGTATTCCCTATTGTGGCCCCGCCCTATCCCCGGGGGTCACGATTTGAACAATTTAGAATCTACACTATGCCAGGATGCTTCCACATAAGTTTCAGCTTTTCTGGCTCAGTGGTTCTTGAGAAGAAGATTTTTAAAGATTTTTCCTATATATTTCTATGTAAAAATTGGATTCCCTATTGTGGCCCCGCCCTATCCCCTGGGTCATGATTTGAACAATTTAAAATCTACACTACCCCAGGATGCTTCCACGTAAGTTTCGGCTTTTCTGGCTCTGTGGTTCTTGAGAAGAAGATTTTTAAAGATTTTAAAGATTTTTCCTATATATTTCAATGCAAAACTTGTATTCCCTATTGTGGCCCCGCCCTACCCCCGGGGTCATGATTTGAACAATTTAAAATCTACACTACCCCAGGATGCTTCCACGTAAGTTTCGGCTTTTCTGGCTCTGTGGTTCTTGAGAAGATTTTTAAAGATTTTTCCTATATATTTCAATGCAAAACTTGTATTCCCTATTGTGGCCCTGCCCTACCCCTGGGGGTCCTGATTTGAACAATTTAGAATCTACACTACCCCAGGATGCTTCCACATAAGTTTCAGTTTTTCTGGTCCAGTGGTTCTTGAGAAGATTTTTAAAGATTTTTCCTATATATTTCAATGTTTCCCTATTGTGGCCCCGAGCTACCCCCGGGGCCATGATTTGAACAATTTAGAATCTACACTATCCCAGGATGCTTCCACATAAGTTTCAGCTTTTTTGGCTCAGTGGTTCTTGAGAAGAAGATTTTTAAAGATTCTTCCTATATATTTCAATGTAAAACTTGTATTCCCTATTGTGGCCCCGCCTTATCCCTGGGGGTCACAATTTGAACAATTTAGAATCTACACTATGCCAGGATGCTTCCACATAAGTTTCAGCTTTTCTGGCTCAGTGGTTCTTGAGAAGAAGATTTTTAAAGATTTTTCCTATATATTTCAATGTAAAAATTGGATTCCCTATTGTGTCCCCGCCCTATCCCCTGGGTCATGATTTGAACAATTTAAAATCTACACTACCCCAGGATGCTTCCACGTAAGTTTCGGCTTTTCTGGCTCTGTGGTTCTTGAGAAGAAGATTTTTAAAGATTCTTCCTATATATTTCAATGCAAAACTTGTATTCCCTATTGTGGCCCTGCCCTATCCCCGGGGGTCCTGATTTGAACAATTTAGAATCTACACTATCCCAGGATGCTTCCACATAAGTTTCAGCTTTTCTGGCTCAGTGGTTCTTGAGAAGAAGATTTTTAAAGATTTTTCCTATATATTTCAATGCAAAACTTGTATTCCCTATTGTGGCCCTGCCCTACCCCCGGGGGTCATGATTTGAACAATTTAGAATCTACACTATCCCAGGATGCTTCCACATAAGTTTCAGCTTTTCTGGCTCAGTGGTTCTTGAGAAGAAGATTTTTCAAGATTTTTCCTATATATTTCAATGTAAAACTTGGATTCCCTATTGTGTCCCCGCCCTATCCCCGGGGGTCATGATTTGAACAATTTAGAATCTACACTATCCCAGGATGCTTCCACTTAAGTTTCACCTTTTCTGGCTCAGTGGTTCTTGAGAAGAAGATTTTTAAAGATTTTTCCTATATATTTCAATGTAAAACTTGGATTCCCTCTTGTGGCCCCGCCCTACCCCCGGGGGTCATGATTTTTACAATTTAAAATCTACACTACCCCAGGATGCTTCCACATAAGTTTCAGCTTTTCTGGCTCAGTGGTTCTTGAGAAGAAGATTTTTAAAGATTTTTCCTATATATTTCTATGTAAAACATTGATTCCACATTGTGGCCCCGCCCTACCCCCGGGGGTCATGATTTGAACAATTTAGAATCTACACTACCCCAGGATGCTTCCATATAAGTTTCAGCTTTACTGGCCCTGTGGTTCTTGAGAAGAAGATTTTTTAATGACCCCACCCTATTTTTGTCTTCTCTTGATTATCTCCCCTTGTGAGGGGACTTGGCCCTTCATTTTAACAATTTAAATTCCCCTTCACCCAAGGATGCTTTGTACCAAGTTTGGTCAAAATTGGCCCAGTGGTTCTTGAGAAGAAGTCAAAAATGTGAAAAGTTTACAGACAGACGGACAGACAGACAGACAGACGGACAGACGGACGGACGGACGGACGGACGACGGACAAAATGTGATCAGAAAAGCTCACTTGAGCCTTCGGCTCAGGTGAGCTAAAAAGTGAAAGATAATTTTAATTAGCAAGGGAATGGAATATAATACATACACATCTATTCATGAATTTGTCCTACTGTGATATTTCTTAATAATCAAATAAAATATACTACAAATCATCAAATTCATTTCATGCAAAATATTTTAAAAAGCAAATGCAAATTAAAACTGTAAAATAACCACTAGTGTTTCAAGTCTCAGTGGCAATATTTCTTCAATTTTAGAGCACTTGTAAAAAGTAGATATTTTGGAGGCCTCAAACGCTCAGCCATCTGGAAGGATGAATAGTATATATGATTCACATGGAAAACCCCTTCTAATCCTTTAAAGGATGAAAAGGACACTAAGTCACATGATTCAACTGACTATGTGATAGACTGTAATATAATAGAATATTACAGATACAAAAATTATTTCAATTATTGATTATATAAATAAATCTTGAACAAATTTTATGCTTTGACATATACTAAATATTTATGCCCTCGTAATTGAAGATTCGGGGGTATATAGCTTTTGCCCCGTCCATCTGTCTGTCTGTCTGTTAGTCTGCAAAAACTTTAACATTGCCAATAACTTTTGATTGGTTGGAGCTATGGCTTTCATATTTCACATGTGTATTCCTTGTGACAAGACATTTCTTTGGATACCATCATATTTGACCTTTAGACCTTGACCTTGGAGGTTGACCCAGTTTTTTGCAAAATTTTACCCGACTTTAACCTTGGACATAACTTTCGAATGGTTGGTGCTAGGGCTTTCATTCTTCACATACGTAATACTTGTGATAAGAACCAACAACTTTGACCCTTTGACCTTGACCTTGGAGTTTGACCTACTTTTCGAAAACTTTAACCTTGGTCATAACTCTTGAACGTTTTTTTTTTGCTTGGGCTTTCATATTTCACATGTGTATTTCTTGTGAGAAGGCCTTTCCTTGGGCACCATTAATTTTTACCGTTTGACCTTGACCTTGATGTTTACTTACTTTTGAAAAAACTTTAACCTTCTCCATATCTATTCAATGGTTGCTGCTGGGGCTTTCATATTTCAAAGGCTATTTCCTTGAGACAAGACCTTACTTCGGGCACCAACATATTTGATTTGCATTTGAGAAAGTTTAACCTTCACTATAAGTTGCCATACGGGGGCATAAGTGGTTTCACACAAACACATCTTGTTTTTTTTGAGTTTTTACATTTACGTCAATATTTACAAGTTTATGAAATAGACTGATCCACTTCTCTGTTTCCCTAAACTGAGTGTCTAACAAGTGACATCATACATGTATCTGTTTTAATAGTACAGCAATAGATAATGCAAGCTGAACATATGCATCTCATACTTACAGTAAATATTCTTCAGTGGGATTAATAGCAGAGATGATGTGATGTCATTATAATTGTTTTTCTCATACTTGAAAAATGTAAACAAGAAGCAGTTAATCTAGTTAATATGTCTAACTCAATTACTTTCTGTTGAAGTTAGCTTCCCTTTTTGAAATTACCACAGTTAATCAAAAACATGGAGACATTAATTTCACTGTAAATTTTAGAATATCAAATGATACATATTTTTTCTCTCTCTAAATTTGGTTTTCCTTATAATTTTCTTGAAAAGTAAGCAATACATTTTTTTTCCAAATGCAAGCTGTAATCTGAAACATGTTATGTCGATCTTTACACTTTAGCTTAAAATTCCCATTACTGACTAAATAAAAACTAGTAAATATAAAGTATGATACGGACTAGTACTTGTCCAGCAATATCTGTTGAGTGAGATTATAAACCTGATCAAAGATCTGCATTACAATATAAAAGACAAACAAAATATTAAAAATGCTCGATAAAGAAAGTGTATTCTTCTTAAACTCAATCTCCCTTCTTGTACTTTACTAATATTAATTCCTCATGAAAACCCTCCCTTGTGGTTTGAAATTCATGACCATTATGATAGCTATTCAAAGAAATATTTTGCAACTTAACAGTACAGTAGCATGCCTCATAATGACTTTGATGAGGGTTATTGGATACATCATCAAGTATCATGACCTTGACCCCCTTTTCTAAATGACTAGAAGTATTTCTTCTACAATTCCATCCATCATATTGTTTCAGTATCTTGTCCTACATGCACATTTCATTGTAATTTTATTTTTCTTATTTTCAAGTGCTATCTTTAAAAACTCATGAACAATTGCCAATAGAACTTGATCACACTGTCTGTCATTTTACAAATTGTTCTGTCATATTGCCACACACCACGCATGTATCATTAAGCTTCAAGAAGTCACTGTGCTCTACTAATGATCGTAAAACCCAGTGTTTATCTGATTAAATGCAAGATATCACTTCCAGAAAACTCAATTTCTTCCTGCACACCCCCCATCCTTGGTGTTTATTGAGATTTGTGTGATTTTGCTGGCAAATAGAATTAGTGATGTAATAACTTTTGCAAAGCAGATTACATAATCAGACCATGATTCTTGAGAGAAATGCACTGAGATAATGAACCTACTTTAAGTATTTTATCGATGATTTTTTATTTTAAAAAGTCTAGATAATTATGATGGTAAACAAAACAATATTTAACCAAAGACATCTGAGAGATGCACAAAATTTGTTCCAATTAATATTCTGAATTCAGTACATGTATTATATAAAGTTTTAGATCTGTATTAACAAAATTAAGGATCAGTGCCCATCCATTGTATATTGAAACGGGCAGATACTGTAAACCCCCTATTCCTAGAGAAAAACGTTTATGCTATTCATGTAAATTATTAATTGAAGATGAAAAACATTTTGTTCTATACTGTTCAAAGTATGACCAATTTAGATGCAATTATACTGATATATTTAATGTAAACACATATACTAGTGATAATCCCATTAGAAAAATTGTCAATCCTACAAATATTACAACTGCTAGAAGGATATGTTGTTTTTTGAAAAAGTGCTTTGACACCAGAAAAGAAAGTCAGCAATGAATACTTAGAAATATGTGAATATACTCTACATTGTTTTGTTCAACTCACATTTGTCACTTTGTATATGTATGTATTATTCTTGTTAATTCGTTTTATGTCATGACTGTATGCCGACATGGTAATTGTCAATAAAGTGAATTGAATTATTGCCTCAAATTACTACAGTTTTCTAATATACACTGGTTTCAGGACTTATACTCACAGTGTCAACTAAAAGCATTTTTTACACTTAATTATAAATCAAAATCAATTTTCATCAATTAACACACTCAAAATTTTAAAAAATGCAGGTTTTCTAGCGTTTAATTTATATGCCATAGGTTTTATTTTTACTACAAGAAAGAATTATAGATAACCCTACATTTGATCCAAGTTCATTAACAATTTGACAATTCATTGAGGTTTATCAATAACATTTATCAAATTTTTATTCATTGAAGAGGTAGAAAATATCCAATTTGAAATTTTTAAAAAGTAAATCTACAGATACCCTATGGAATTTGTTTTCGACAAATCAGCTCAATATGACTCACAGATGCACAGGAGACATTTCAAAATGACTCATAAACCTGATCAGAATATTCTTATCATTCAAGTAACTTAGTTTTTAAGTCATATATGAGTTTCTGTCCACAAGTAAGTCCATTTTGATATTGGTAGGTAGATTCAATATTCTATCTGCTGTACATAAATCTCAACCAGAAGCCCACGCACACACTTAAGACACTCTTGTTTGGGGCAATGTGTGGCAGTCATATCTCCTGATTGGTTGTTTATTCATGCCAAAATGCAACAAGACTTCCCTGGGAATACTGAAGGAAAATTTTTGCTATGTTTGTTGACAATATCAGAAATTCAACAGGGAATAAATGGAAGATTTCTCAGAAAATCAGAAATAATAGAATGATAATGAATTCAAATTGTTTTTACAATATGGAACATTTACACGGACAGATGACAAAACTTCAACAGAAACATTTCCCTCTAGTGAGCAAAATGCACCATTTCCTTCTTTTTTTTAAGATATCAATTTAGAATTAGAAAAAGTTAACTTGCACTTTGAAAAAAATAATACACAGTACCTGTAGAATAAGTAGACATAAGAAGTAGAAGTTGGCAATCCTCTGAAACTGTTCCAGGAGATTCTTCGGCACAAATGAGACGACAGAGTACTTAGACGTACAGATGTAATTGTTCTGTAATAGAATAAGAATGATTGATTTTTGTTATTTCTGATATATACAGTAAAACCATGTTCTCTCAAACTTAGAATACTTTGTCTGAGGTATCCAAAGATTCCAGATATCAAGGTTAAAATACATGAAATAAAGGTGGTTTGGACTTCCACCACACTTTGACATATGCATGATATTCAAAATACCAATGTTTACCTTTATATCTAATATCATTCACTTTATTAATATATTAGTTTATTCAGGATATAACTTTGGGCAATACAGCCCATCAGTTTACAAAATTAACATATAATAACATATATTACAAAATTTAAGACTCTCAGTGAGCATAAACTGGGGGGTGAAATCCCTGGTCAAGTGTTCCTCAGTCCCACAGTTCCACTCATTTATAGTAAACAATAATATATTGAACAAAATAAGTACAATACAATAAGCAGTACAATACATAATTCAAAGTTATAATACAATATAAAGCAATGATGTTTTAATGTACAGACATCTGAAAATATAAACCTTACACAGATAGAAATTAGGTTAACCTGATTGATCTTCGTTACGGAATATTAGAGAATAATGAATATATTTCCCCACACCAACTAAGGTAGATATGCGGTTGGTACCCAACAATTGGATTAATTTAAAAGTACTTGGCGATTCGTAATAATATTCATTTATATATTTTTTCTTAAATTTAGATATCTAGGGCATTGAAGAATGAAATGGAATTCATCTTCTATTTCACGTGTATTACAAACATCGCAAAATCTATCCTCTCTACTTTTGCCTTGGTACCTTCCGCATTCTATGTTAAGATAATGAGACGAAAGTCTAATGCAGGAAATATGCTTTTTTAAATTACTCTGAAAAGGTTTTGTTAAATAGGATTGCATTTTACAGAAGTCAGATTGGACAGTATGTTTATATAGAAAGCATTTTGACAAATTATCCATAAATGCAGTGCACTCTTGGAGGTATATATCTAGGATTCTATTTTTATACACGTGCATAAAATGAGCAAAGTTTATTGCTTGCTGTTTTACCCAAAATTCTCCCAGACCCAATCTATATACATAACTGAATTCTAGTTATAACAGGGTATTTTATTAGATAAACAATTTACTTAATATCATATAAATTGGGTTGCCTACATCACAATGACTTTGCGTCAAAAATGTATCACTCTGCCTAATGTTACATTTAAATTTTGTACAATTTGAAGTCTTTTTTAAGGGAAATCTTTTTTTTTCTTACATTAAATGAATTAAAACTAAATTAAAAGGAATGAATTTAATAGCTACCCAATTTATATTAACTGGGTTTGAACAATTTACTCTTTTTTGTTAACTGCTTCTCGCACTGTCCCAACCCAGTTTATACAGTATTACAATAGACTTTTAAAAATTACTTTTTAAGTGACATTATTGTATAAAAAAAATTTCTCGATAATCACATGTATTGTTTTAATCCAAACCCTCAGCATGAAATAATAACAGTCATAGCAACATTATGAAATATATGGGCAAAGCATCCTGGGATTTTACATAATAATATATAAATTCCTGAAAGACAACAATACATACAATACATTGTATAACCCATTTATATACTGAAGGGAAAAAGAGAAGCAGGTTAACATAATGTGCTCGATTTATTTTAAAACTCCATGACTTTGAATTATGAAAATTGGTCAGAGATGAACCAAAGACATATCTATGTTCTCAAGGTTAGTCAAAAAATCTTCAGGAAAACAAAATTTTCACAGATTTTCAGACAGTAAAGGGTTAAAGTAAAAATTCCTTTGAAATTTAAATCCCTCAGCAAAGTCCAGCATAGAAATGTACTTTATATTGATTCAATAGGTCTCAAAGTTGGTTAATATTCTGTCCACAAAGAGCCATATATAACTCTAGACTTTCAGGGTTGAAATCCCATAAAGCTTTATCTTAATCTTTTATATTATATACAAATGTGTATCAAAAATATTTTTTTTAATTATCAGTCAATAAATGGTCATAACACTCAATTACAAAAGGATTGAAACCCATGAATTTTAAATTACCTATATAAATAGATTTGCAACTCTTCTGTATACAACTGCGTACCTATCTCATAGTTTAATTAACTCCTAAAATTAGGGAATGTAAAAGTGATGTGTAGACAGATGGAGGTAAAACCAAAATACCCCATCCCAAGTTTTATTTAGTATGAGGATATAAAGTATCTACATGAAGATCATTTTTATAAGACTATGTGAGCAGATTTAACCTTTAACAGCATGACTGAAATCCTTATACATGTACATTGTATTGTCAATTCAAAAGGTTTCAGCATGTGATTTATCAAAATCCAGTCTCCAATCTTCATAAAACCCACTATGTAAGCTTTCTAAACACAAATTATTATGACCAGAATCCTGATGAAATGTATGTTTGGACTTCACTGTAAAAAATTCCCCTTTCTGCTGTGGCTATAGTAATTTCGGCATGGTCATACCCTTCATTGTCTTAGTGCTAAGCTGTCTCCTGAGGTGCTTCTTTAATTACTCCTGTGTCTGTATTTACTCTAAGGTCCAAACTTCATCTGCCTCAAATCAATTCTGAATCAGTGATTCATGCAGAAATCAATCACTGCTTGCATGGGTTGACACAAAATCCAAGAGGAGTTTAATCAAATGAAACCAATTTCCATAGCTTTTCATGAAAAATATTGTTCATCCAACATAAAATCAAAAATTGCAAACACATGATGAAAAGAAAGGGGGGGTACTAGGAGGGTTTTTTTCAAGGAAGGGGGGGGGGGTCTCCCAACTATAACTATCGTTTTCAGTCCATGGCACTTGACAAACACGAGCCTTGCAACTAAATATATGGGTATTTACTGGGCATCAATGTCTGTTCTCTGATTTTGTTGCAGTGGCCAGTGGGACCAATAAAAGTGGGCTTATTAAGACATCACGAAGAATTACATCACATCTAAACAATGGATTTTTCCTGAACTGAATCACTGAAGGGATTTCACGTCACAGACCTCTACTACTTTACCTGCATAAGAAGAGGAGCTACATAATATCTACTTTCTCTGTATAGCAACCCAATTGTGATTTTTTTACCTTTTAAAGCCAACAATATTCGGGTAAATAATTACTACTCCCTGATGTATCATTAATTTAAGATTAATGAAGGACATAAATTTACTATGCAACTCTTAACAAAAATTCATTAATTTAATAAAAAGAAAACGAGAACAATAAAACATTCTGACAAATTTGTATATTGGTGAATGTTGACAGAAAAACAAAAAATAACAATGTGTATCAGTATAATTTGATGCCTAAAATGTTTTCTGGTTGTCTTGTGGAAATATTTGGCCCCTGTTACTTTTCTGGAGTCTTAATGCCCAGCACCCTTTTCACTTAAACTTATTGTAATTCGCATTTATGTACACAATGTAGAATACTATGGCATAAAACTCTCAAAATTTTATTAAGAGTTGAAAATCCTCCCTAGCTTACAAACCCTGTATATTTACAGCCTGAAGCATGGAACCCAAATCAAAATTTAACCTTTATCCATCATCCATGCTTTGATACTAGATGACAATGCACCTTCCCTGTTCAAGCCAAATAAAAGGTCACCCTGAGACTAGCTTTAATATTGGCACAGGTTGTAGTAACTTCAGCATGCCAAGGGGTCTATATTAACTTTCAATAAGTTTATGTTAGTCCGGTTCTGTATGGACCATTCTAATGAATTCAAAACCAGATACATGTGACATATAAGAGTACATTCTTGGCCCAAATCAATCTCTGTAGCAACTGATTTACCCAAATAAACTTGGTATCAAACCTATTGATATATTAACTTTATCAAAACCATTCTGTTCATGAAGAGCACATAACTGCACAATCCAAAATCGACTTCTGAATGAGCTGAAAGTGTTCCTTAATGAAAGGCATTAAGATTTTGTCATAAAATTTATTGACAGGTAATATGACACTGTCAACATCATACATGTGTAAAACAAACATGTGCAACCAGTGGTACGTGTTAAAATTTTCAGTCTTACTATAACACAGGTACCAAAATTACCCCAAAAATGTATTTTAGGAGGTACTATCTTTCTCAAAATTTGTTTAGAAGAGGTGTACAGCATTACATATTGAGACACTGTAACAAGGGAATAAGAAAATAAACTTCAAAATATTTTGCACATGTTCTTAATTTGTCCTTGAAAATGCCTCCGCAATTTGATTTCATCTTTGAAACAATATTTATCACTGCTATTTATTTACATAATGACCCTAACTTTCTCTCTTTTTTTATACATGCATGTACTTGATTGATAAACTTCAGTATATAAGCACAACTTAATTTATATACCAATACCAGTTTTGCAATAAAAAGTGAAGTCACTGAAATATTCATATCCTATATGTTCACCAAACATTACTGGCCTTTATAACTTGAATCACAAACATTTACAGCATTAACGCATATAAATAGAAAGTCTGTGCACAGAAATTATCTCCTAAATGGTATACATATATATATTTTGGTAAATTGATCAGCTGAATGTTTACTTACTGCATATTGAAACTGAAGATTGTATTCTGGATCACTGCCTCTGATGTGTCGCTCTAGTTCTACAAAACAAAACGATACATAACTGTGAAAGCAGCACTATCAATTTTCAAAGTTGAAAGAATTAATACATTTTTTTTTTCTTTAAACATTTATTAGAGTACATTATTTATATTTTCTCCTGGGTCTTATTCTGATATTAATTGGCCTATTTACAATGTCTGGTCTAACTATAGCAGACATAACTAGATTATGTATTGAAGAACAATGAATAATACATGCCATTCATCATATTATCATGAATAAAACATTAAAGTGATGCTCAAGCAGAAAATTGAGACCAAATTGTACCATACCTCTAACATCAGATACTTTTCCATGAAACAATTTTGTCATTCCTTTAATACACATCCAATGATTGAACTAAATGAAGTTTTACAACATTGCACAATACAACTTTCTATTTTTGCTTCTCTAAGAAGGAAGTGAAACTTAGCTGCCCTTTTTTTTTTTTGGAAAAGATGTCAGCCACCTTACAGATTCAAAACATCCATAGTACTGATCAATAGGAGAAACCTTTTCTGTGTCTGAACAAAGTAATGGAGGACTATTTACATGAATAATGAAATCTTTTTAAAAAAAAAACATCTTCTTATCAACAGAACAGAATTCATCATAAAATATTCATCCCTACAGATCATGTGCATGAAAACTACATGAAAAGGTTGGGGGAGAAAAATAACTGATTGATTATATATCCAACTGATCCATAAAATGTTGATTCAGAGTCACTGCTCTGAATAACTGCAGGTGGAAATAACTGAGGGACCTAGAATTCATTGATGTGTCTTGATCCTTTTGTTTCTGAATACTTGGATTGTACGCTGGTTCCATTAAGCGGAGCTAGCTATTTGTTCAGACTTCATAATACTTATATGGATATTGAAATAATGATACACATGGAGGATTCAGATTTTCTCTATGACAACTGTCACTTTCTCCTAACAAATGGACCGGTGCTCAATTTCATTTACAAATTCTCCAAGGCAGTCCAGTTTTTGGATGAAATTGGTTACTTTTATATCAAATTAAGTGATGATTCACTGAGCCTTCAAAGTATTCCAAATTCCAAAAAAACCCACTTCTTTCATGATTTGATGAAACAAAGGGAGGTGATAAGTTATACATTCATTTAATCTAATTTACTGGTTCACAGAGAGAACCAACTATTTCTATGAGAATAAATAATAAAAATATGTACTAACTCCAACTTGTATTAAAACTGACAGAAGATACTTATCATTAACATGGAGTGTTTTAAGTATTGTGTGTTAATTGTTCCAAATGCCATTAGAACTACTCCCTGCTGAAACAGGATTTGTTCTCTATTCCTTAGAATTCTTCTAATCAACATTGCACACATTGGTCAAATTTTCATACAGATTCCCTGAGCAATAAGACAGAAAAGCATCACAACACTGCTACTAGTATCTGTCTGACTGGCTGAAATTTTTAATTCCAACATAGACTGATAATGATTTCTAAGCAGTGGAGAAGGAAATGAATGTGTTATATCTCATGTTAAATTTAGTGTACTTATTCATCATGTATGCTGAAAAGTTTCAGATACATTGTTTTAAGCATGGATTCCTTGAACCCCTCATCTTTTAATGATTTTGGTCAAAAGATAATGTTTGTGCTATTGATTTTAGGGTTATTTTACAATATTCAATGATGTATGTACTACTCTACAAAAAAATCTTGTTTTCAATTGAACTTTAAGTACATAAAAGCTTGTATCATCTCAAGGAAGATATGACTACAAGTGAGTCCTTCTTCCTAATCATGTAAACTTAATGCTGATGCTGTCCCAGAGTAGATCAACAGAAAAGACAGCTATCTATACAAATAAACACACTGGTTAATCTAATTTGTTGTTTTATAATTTTTTTAAATAAGAGAACAATTATCTTATGTAATAAGTTTCCATATCAGTCTTTCCTTTTCTTCAGATGATTAATTAAAGCAGTAAGTAGTCTTTCTATAATTTATTTGCTTGCTTTCAAAGCTATTCAATAAAATTTCATAACAACACACAAGTGACTAAAGTGATCAGCTAGCCCCCAAACACCTCCCCCAACCACAACCTCCAGGGACATGATTGGTCCTGGACCCTCTCCTTTTCCCTTTACAGGAAGTGAATAAGTGTATTTATAAGGAAATGGTTGTTATATGGAAGTACAAACTCATCATTTTAATAATCAAAAATATATAACAGCTACTTTTACAATAATGGCTGAAAATTGAAATGATTGAAACATTTCTATTTTAGATGAGACAAGACTCAGACGACAAGTAACAGTATGTCATAAATTACACCCTGATTATGGGTTTTAAATCTGTCCTATGGTATTATGCTTTGCAATTGTGTCAATGAATCCAATAAACTTCAGATCATTATTTATGGCTCATCCATGTGGGTTTTTTTTTTTCACAACAACCATATATTATACTATATTGCCTGCTGCAAACTGGATAAATGCTCAAATGTTTCAAGAGTAAATTCAAACATACCTATTGGTTTGTCCTTCTTCCAAAACTGCATAATGAGGCTAAACTGTAATGAAAAAAAAATCTCTTTATACTTGCAACCTTATGAGCAAACAGTTGCTGAAATTTTGATATCAAGGTATAACCGAAATGCTTGCCTGAGTATTTCTTTCCACTTAAACAATTCCAGTGTCTCGAACAACAAAGTGTCATCTAACTTAGACAATCCATATCAACTACCGTATTCTAGCCAAGAGGGTGTGGTACGTTCAATTGAAATCTGAGCTGTTCACAGAACAAAGGTAACAGTTTTCCCTTACCTATCTCCAGCATCAGGTGAACCAATCTCACACTTTCTTCCAACACATCCTTAGAGGCTGAAACAAACAGATTCTGTTAAAGACCGAAGAGGATTACAACTTTGTGAAATAATGTTATTCAAAAAGCAATATACTTATTTCAATACAATGTGTAAATTGAATTCCTTTGACAAAGATGGTCATCAAGTTCAGAAGTAGGATTAAATCATCAAGTATATTTAGACGGAAATACCCCGACTGTTATTGCCTAGTTAATTCAAGGGTCAATTGTTTCATATTATAATTTAAAGAAACACGTGTTACTCATAAGATTTATCAATGCATCATATGCGATCCTTGAATTCATTTCAAAATGTATATTAGTTACAGATTTTTAAACACATCATCAACAAATATTAATTAGGAAATCCATTAATGACAAAATAAAATCTTGTCCTATTTGGACTGATTAATACATGAATGCAATCAAATTACAGATTTCTAGTCCTGCCTTACTTAAGCTTTATATCCTATTCCAGCTCAGTTTCCAAGTTTTAATTGAAACTCACGTTGTAGGGTACTCTTAACATTGCATGAAAAAAAAAAATTAAAGAAATAAGAGTTGCATCTGTTAATATTACATTTCTCAGATAAAAATTTCCATTTAAAACAGTAACTTGTTATAATAAGAATTTCACATTCCTCTGTTATATTTCCAAGGCCAGCAGATTCCAGTATTATATTACCAGACCCTACAGGCAAATATCAAGCTCTGTGTTACATCCATAACCTCTGATTTCCAATAACTTATATACATACTCTACATGTTTATCACTATCATCCACAAGTTTAATGTTGTTCAACTACTTGATTGTTCTAAATAAGGATCCTCACAGGAAGACACTGAGTAAAGTTGTAATTGTCTTTTTAGTTGATTACATCGTTTCCTTCCATGTTCACTCAAGAATAGAATAACCTTGAAATACTACATCAACTGTAACCGTTCCTCAGTTTTGGAACATCTGTTTTGAAATCAGTGCTGTCTGAAGAGCCATATGAACTGGGTCTTCTAATCAATTTCCTAACTGTCCTCTGTTGATTTTTGCCACATTTCGATTACCAGTAAATAACCACGGTAATACACACCTACACATCCCTATAGAGAGCTGTGGTTAATCATAAAAAAAATCAAACTAAACTGTTGTTTTATAAATGGTCAATACCCCAGCTGTCTATACTGCTCATACACAATATATGACATGTATGTACTTACATTTACACATAATAACAGGGTACTATCCTCAACGTAACACAACGGAGCCATATATCAATTATCTTATTCATAATTTGGTATACATCATTCAATTTGATGCATTGACTACAGTTTTAGGATTAATATCCCCTGATTTAAACAGACTAACTGAACTGAACATAAATTCTGTTGCACAATAACCCAAAATGGGTCATTATGCTGAGAGAAAAAGCAAAGAAAAATTCTGGATACAGAGGCTGAAGTAATTCTGCTTGATGGTACAAACTCACCAGGATGAAGTTGAAATTTGGTGAAAATGTTAGGTAATACCAAGCAAGGCTATTCTCTCCACTTAGTTTTTACTACCCAATTAATTCATATTATTATGTTTAATTACACTATTTTTAATTATCTTCTTGTATTTACTGTTATTACTTCCTTTTTTTATTAAACACTGTTTCTTACTATTCAAGGAGTGCATCACAACAGGAGACCAGACTGACACTGACTGAACATGCCTTCCAGTGGTCCAGATTTCAAATTAATTAGTTTTGAACATCGAAATTCAAACTGTAAAACTGTATATAATGAAAGAAAAAGTGAGCAAAGATTTTGTGTGTGTGTGTGTGTTAAATCATTAATATTTTGATCTCAAAATCAATAGGGGACTTTTAAGGTCATAAAATATTTCACACAAAATTTCATGACAAAAGCTGATTCCACTAGTGGATTTCCTTATTACCTAGCTGGAAAGTTTCTTCAATAATACACAAAACTCTTAAGGCAAAAATAATGGAATCGGAATTTCCTGGTAATATGCACATCTACACACTGTGTACTAAATATCTGCAAAGTTTGACCTAATTCTGTGCAGTGGTTTAAGAGGAGTTGCGCTGACAAACTGTTCATCTCTATATTCAAGATATGGCCAAAAATCTAAGTTGAAAAGTGTTTCTTACTATTCAAGGAGTGCATCACAACAGGAGACCAGACTGACACTGACTGAACATGCCTTCCAGTGGTCCAGATTTCAAATTAATTAGTTTTGAACATCAAAATTCAAACTGTAAAACTGTATATAATGAAAGAAAAAGTGAGCAAAGATTTTGTGTGTGTGTGTGTGTTAAATCATTAATATTTTGATATCTAAATCAATAGGGGTCTTTTAAGGTCATAAAATATTTCACATAAAATGTCACGACAAAGGCTGATTCCACTAGTGGATTTCCTTATTACCTAGCTGGAAAGTTTCTTCAATAATAGGCAAAACTCTTGGGGCAAAAATAATGGAATCAGAATTTCCTGGTAATATGCACATCTATACACTGTGTGACTGTCCTAAATATCTGCAAAGTTTGACGAAATTCTGTGCGGCGGTTTAAAAGGAGTTGTGCTGACAAACTGTTCATCTTTATATTCAAGATATGGCCAAAAATCTAAGTTGAAAAGTGCCGAAATTCCCAGAAAAATAAAGGAATCGGAATTTCCTGGTAATCTGCACATCTATATTAACACATTGTGTCCTAAATATCTGCTAAAGTTGACGAAATTCTGTGCAGTGGTTTAAAAGGAGTTGTGCTGACAAACTGTTCATCTCTATATTCAAGATATGGCCAAAAATCTAAGTTGAAAAGTGCCGAAATTCCCAGAAAAATAAAGGAATCGGAATTTCCTGGTAATATGCACATCTACACATTGTGTCCTAAATATCTGCAAAAGTTGACGAAATTCTGTGCAGGGGTTTAGGAGGAGTTGCGCTGACAAACTGTTCATCTCTATATTCAAGATATGGCCAAATATCTAAGTGGAAAAGTGCCGAAATTCCCAGAAAAAATAAAGGAATCGGAATTTCCTGGTAATATGCACATCTACACATTGTGTCCTAAATATCTGCAAAGTTTGACCAAATTCTGTGCAGCGGTTTAGGAGGAGTTGCGCTGACAAAAAAACAGGACTGACGGACTGACTGACGGACGGGTCAAAAACATTATACCCACCGCAACTAGTTGCGTGGAGTATAATTAATTATTTCCAAAATATATCATTATACCTACTAAATACCAGTATTTTTGTCTGTGTATCACAATATGTATTGTGCAATAAAAAATCATGATATACTGGTATACCGATAAAATCACACATCCCTAGTATCTACGCTTGTTATTGTCTATCTCAAAGTAACTTATATTGTTTTTAGCATATAAACTTCATATTAATAAACATGGAATTGGAGCAAAAACATGTTCCTTTGTTGTTTAATGTTCCTCTCAAAAAAATTTCACTCATATGGACATAACACCACTTGCCGGTGGAGGGCTGCAAATTTATACCTATGCTCGGCACTGAGATCCATTGAGCAGTAAGGGATCTCTTTCGTTCCTACACCTACTGCGACACGGGGCCTTGGTTTATACGGTCTCATCCTAAGGACCGGTCTCCACGTACCGCAGTGGATTTGAACCCCTGACGTCAGGATCAACTCTGTACTCCGCGACTCTTGAGCAGATGCTCTAATCACTGCACCATGCCGGCGCCGAGCATAAAGAGGTAAAGAAAATGTTTAAATTTGCAGATTCTGCCAAAAACCTTAACCTACCTACATTCTCCTTCTTTTGGACTTGGGACAATGGCGACTTCTTTATGTTTTGTACAATCAGGAAGGAAATGCAGAGCAATATTTCCATGTTGGGCCAAGCAATAATTACCCCCCCCCCCCCATAATTAACCTAATACTTTCAAGAATTGACAGAAAAATGTCATAAACACCATTTTGACACAAAAATTATTTTTCTGATGAACTAAAATAGAACATCACATTTCAAAATAACAAACTATAGCTTCTATCATTATAAAACTAGAAGTATTTCAAGCTCTGAATGATCTGTGCACTTTGAGACTGAAAATGAGTTCCCCATTCTAGTGAATAAGCTTTCATTCTGACAAATTTCATTTGCTGATGGGTGAGCAAATTATCCCATTTCAGGACCACATTTGTTACCTGTTTCTTTCCTATACCCTCTCTTTCTCTGACAAAAATCATCGGTTGATGGACTGGACCAAAAAAAACTTATTTCAAGACTACTGCTAAGAGTATCCTGTCATTACATAGCTCTTTTGTAGTGTTTTAATGAAGATTCACAAAAGCCAGCCTCTGAAACCCTGCAGTTACAAATCCAATAGATGCAAATCCTCCCTACTCACCCACCAGCAAAAACCACCATGACTGCTTGCTGCTCATTCATCTCTTCTTCCCTAGACATCTAGATGACCAATGCCCAAATTCTTCAGTCTGAGCACATTTTAAGCTCAGTGACTCTCCTCATCATAAACTAATTATTGTTTATACTGCCATTTGGTTCTTTGAACTTCAAACACATAAACATAGCCAAAGATAACATAACAAAGGCTCTAGCTCCCATCATGCTCCCAGAAAGAAACCTATTGTTGCCATATAATATAAACATAAGTTAATGGATGGTATGTGTATCAGTATCTTAAAAGTCTTTCAACACTGACACAGTGTTTGTCTGTTTTATTTGATCAATAACTGTCTGCCTCTAACTAAGGAGGTTTTATCAAATCACAAAACTACATTCAACCATATGCATATCACAATAGTTATCCACTCACTACCAAGAATTTACTACAGATGGGTTCTTAAATCCATTTTCTTTGTGTCATGGTGAATAGTATGTACTGAATATTTATGTACCAGTATTTCAAATGTCCTTGGAATATGTACAATTTGAATTTTAAAAAACACACATACACACACATCTCCATGAATATTTGGATTTAAAATTTTGATTTCAAAAATGGCTAGGCCTTA